CCTGAAGGAGCAGATGTCGACTTTGAAACAGTCTTAACAGCATACGCTGGAGCTCCCAAGTTAGTAGTTAAAGAGGCAGAAGCATAGTCCACAGTAGACTCCACTGTAAATGTTGATGAATATTCAGAAGAAGTTGTGGACACTGTAAAATCAGCAGCTAGTGTTGTGGTACCAGAAGATGACTTCGAAGCGGTCTTAACAACATATGCTGGCTTACCTAAGTCAGTAGTCAAGCTATTAGACGAAGTCGTGGACACTGTAAAATCAGCAGCAAGTGAGGTGGTCTTTCCAGTAGTTCTAACAGTATATGCTGGCTTGCCAACAGCAGTTGTCTTCACAGTTGATGCGGGTGGGGCGTTTGTAACCAGACAGTTTCCCTCATCTATACAGTTTTCAACCGTTGTCGTTGGTGCCGTCGAACATGAAAGCGTACCTGTTGGTTCGGTTGGCAAGTCACAGGCAGCCAAAGCAGATGAAGCATATGGTCCGTAGTTGTTCCATAGAGTCCAACCACAGTCGAGACATTTAGCATAGTTTCTCATCAAATTGGAGTTTGAAGAGCACAGACAGTCTGTGTCGTATGGACCAGCATATGGATTTGTTGTGTTAGATGTACATTGTGTACCACCGATGATCATCAAATTACAGTAGGTACGACAAATCGAAGTGGCACAAGTGCCTTCATCTGAGATGGCCAACGCAAATGCTTCTGGATCTGGATGTGCCATAGCGACAGCTTGACCGTAGGCATCAGCAAATGCATTAGGAGCTGGAAGAGCAGATACAAGTGTTGAAGCAGCTAGGAGAGCTGTGCTCATCAAAAATGGGGAAAGAACCATCGTGCTTGTGAGACAGTTATGCGTATATGCAGGTGATTTGATGACTTAAAATGGAAGTACTCACAGAAGAGACAAATTGAAATGAAGCAGGAGGTCCCACTTTTATATTTGCAAGACCAATATATTCTATTTGGACTTGAAGAATAATAAGAGATATGCAGGATTAAAAGACAACAGGAACTGGAATGTACGTAGCCTGTCCTCGGTTGTAATTTACGATGTACAATACTTCGCAAATCGTGATATTTACCACTAGGCGAGCAGGAAAACGTACAAAATTCAACATGTAACACGTAGCTATTCATGCATCTATTTACAGCCCACGCAAAATGCCTGAGTCGTAAGTATGCAAGTTCTTTAGTGCTGTGCCTTTCCATAAGGCGAGGAAAATAAAAAGGAGGGGGAGACCAAATGATTATCTCCCACTTCTGGGCCATTCTTCACGTCTGGAATTGGCGACCGATCCGAGGATAAAAACACTTTTAGTATGCAGAGTAAAGTTCAGATCTATGGGGCATGAAAGTAAACGTACACTGAGCTTAATACAGAAGTTATAACAGTAAAAGCTGTCGATTTAAGAAGTTATCTTCTGAACTACATATGTGGCGATATGTAAGTGATTAAAGGGTATCCTTTCGGACGCACTACGTGAAGCTTCCATAGCGTAGACCATGTATAGTCATGTTCTGACTACTTACCTACTTCCAAAGCACGTAGTGCGTGAATTTATCTAAGCGGACACACCGTACATACATGAAAAATATGTATGAAGTATGACTAGTCACGATGAAACTTGAGAAAGTAAATTGACCTAAGGATGCGCCTGATCTCTTGGTAACAGAGGAACCACAGGACGATTGAAACAGTATAAAATTTAGCAGGCAAAAAAAAACTTTCTGGCGGGTTTGAGTTGCGCTCTAATCTCTTGGTAGATTAAGTGAATTGCAATGGATATTCAACCTGTTTCCCATAACTCTACGGATGTGGTCTGTACTTCCTAATTGGAATAACAGAAACGGCAATGTTATTGGGTTGTGATCATTTTACTGGAATGTATATGAGGTTTGAGACATGCATAGACCATCGCGTTATTGTAAATTCTGTTTGACATTTAATTACTTATCCTATTTGGGTAACTTGGATAATACTTAAGCAGGCGGAGCCTGCAGATCAGCAAAGGTTAGGAGAATAATCTACATTTCAGTTTATTTGGTGGCTCTATTTCGGCACAGCCTTGGTACGGTTATGCTCCTAAACACTTGAGCGAAAAAACATTGTCTGGTTGAGCCTTAACCTCCACCACTTTTAAATTCTTCGTATTTCGTGAACAATAAGTCAAACACTGGTCAGGGAACAGCAATTTTATCAACATATGTGCCATGCATTGTCCGCAGAAATCAATTAGGAACGCAGCTAAAGCCTCGAAAGTTAGGAAACATAGGTGAGCAATCTATGGTGTATCCAAATTTAATAATGTCTTACCTTGTATTTAGTACCTAAAGAACCGTTTGATATACAAGCAAAAAGAAAATGTAAGTTCGCCTCCTTTAACCAAAGCTGCGCTATATACTACGACAAAATGGCATACTGGTATAAGAGGCAATATTCACAATGGAGTAATAGATGGGTCTCACCTGAGTCAAGTTAAGATGGATACATGGCCTTTATAATTTGCATTTATTAGGGGAACGGCAGGTTTCATGTTCTTCTTAGCAGTGACAATCTAGCTAGTAAACTAAAATACGAATTTTTCTGTGGAATCTAACAAGAATTCTGAGCTTCGCTAATATCTGGACCGACTCAAATAAAGGAGCTTGGTTTTAAGTCAGTGACAAGCAATGACCAAACCGATAGGTAAAGCCACACGAGTCAACGAAAACCATCAAAAGTTGGGAAATGGATGCAGTTCAATATGTACAGAATAAATTGTGTAAAGGGGGTTAATGCGGAGAAGAAGGATCTTTTTCTTATTGATTCTCTAAAGATTTAAACTAGACAGTTTCATCTAGCAGATCAGTATGTATCACCACAAGTTATTGTAATAGGATAACCTTATATTTGCTATCCATTTAATGACATTAAACTGTTGGTAGTACCATTGGCAGCTACATTATCAAGTTCCAACGCTAATTTCCAACGTCAAACACATAATATACGATTTACTACTACTCAGTCTCTCCATGTGCTCGAGCATTGTAAGCTGCAAGATGGTGTGGCGTATGACACACTTTACATCGATCTACTTTTGATAATTAAGTTACAAAGAAAGATTGTCGTTAAGGTCTCTACACTACATACGCGGGTACAAAGTACACGAAAAGGTCATAGCAAATATGGAGTAAAGTTTGAAAAGTTGCATATTATAAAAATAAATGTACACCTAGCTTCAAGGCAGGGCTAGCTAACGCCAATGCACCCATTCAGAATGAGCCTATGTACGTAGAATTCACCGTTGGATAGGCATAAAGCATCTAGGTTACTTAACACGTGGCTATTACATTCAAATTTGCTTAATATCAGAACTATATTTTCGGTAAGGTTATTATTTTTATAGATATGTATTTCAAAAATACAAAGCTTGTCACAAGTTTAGCAACCTCTTCCAAAAGCATAACCTATTAATTCCTTATAGAATTGTGTTGTGTTTACCAGCATAATATGGCCAACACAAACTCTGTTTCAGTTTTCATGCGGGCTTTTTATGAGGCGTGTTCAAGGCGGTACCAGAGGCGTACACTACATGGATAAAAATCAAGAACAGCCGCTTATAAAATCGTCAATATCGGTTGGTTGATTGGAAAACTCATCTATTGTTCAAGTTTTAACTTCCAAGTGCATGCCATGCACCTAGGACAATGTAGAGCCTGGCTAGTGGCCCTTTAAAGTAACTACAGAGCCCAACATTTTTTTATTTCACATCCCTCTGTCAGTCATCAGTTAGTAATTGGGGTTCTATAGTGAAGTCACGAATGTGTTTGCGGGTTTTAATTTGAGTGTCTAAAAACCGAACTGTTCTCGTACTTCTTTAAGACAGAGGAATATTATTCTAGGAGAATGGAGTACGTATAAGCTGTACTGCGGGATTTGACATCAACTCCGATTATCGACCACTCTATTATATCAGCATCACTCCCTAGTATTTGCAATCTGTCATCAGTAGATATAAATGATTTACAATTGCTAGTGCGTAGTAACCGGTGCCAATTCTCTCGATATTAATTATTAAGGGGTATGTAGGATACACACATACACAAATAGTAAGGTACAATATGAACAAGAGGGCGTTGAGTTGGTAGTTATTGGTATGAGCAGTCGTTGATCCACGGAACGTGATTAGACGGAGTTTAGAAAGCGGTTCCAACAGTGTAACGGGTCGGATGGTAACCCCGCGCCGGCCTATTAACAGAACAGTCTGAACACCACTGTGTAATTGGCGCTAGTCCTGGTTTGGTCACCTTCCAGAACGCCCCAAAGTTAAATTTCCAGATCTCTCTACTACAGATTCGTAGATAAAACTTTCGCATCGCCTTGCAGAAGAGTTTGCATTGGGCTGTTATTAATGTTTGTAGTACTACCGAGACGCCTGCAGCTGTAGGACATGCCTCAAAAGTTACAATCATACATGGTTTCCTTTTCGAACGTTGAAAGGTTAGGTTTTGCTTTTAGCGAGAGTCCAACAGGCGTTGAAGTTGTACTGTAAATTTCTGGAAATTAGGATTTTAGAAAAGTGTGAAAGAAACACATGTATGTACGTTGTTCCTACCCAATTTCAACTCAGGGACATACTCAATAAGGCAGTAATCTCTTCAAAAAGGCCTGGAATAAGTCTAGTACATCATAGTGCCTGTTAAAATAATATTGGGCCACTAATAATATTGTATTCATTGGAGAGAGAAGATAATCTACTACAGCCAGTAGCACATTTCATTGTATAAATCACTTCCTGACTTATGAGAATCTGTTAACAGAGGTTTAAGAATAAGGCATCAGGAGGTGACAGATGAGAACATTAACAGACCATATAATTGAAGGTTCTCTCCATACATGCCTATTGGATCCTCCAGCATATTCAGGCTTTAAGAACATTTCAAAGGCGGGAATTTAATGCTCAATAGACCTGCGAATGTCCTGGCACAGAATTGAAACCGCACAGTACTAAAAACAGAGCATTCGAAGGTAGAGGTATGAAAGGCTGCCTATTAAGTTAGAGGTAGTTACTACTCCATAACTACCTATACTTTAATCTTGTGAAACATGACCACCATGGATCTTGCTAAACATTTGATAATCTGCCTGAAGAGGACAGTACTGTGCCCAAGAAAATTTGAAACAATCGTGCGTCGTTATTTAAGGTAGACGTCCTGTGTTGTACTGATGATTGGAACATCAGCTAGAAACGATATATTTTGGAACTCACCGAATTATTTTTAATGTAATCAAATATGAAACATACCACTATTGCATAATTTCAGCTTCTTCGACTTCCTCTTTGTTCCAATGTATCTTCAGTAAAACATTGTAATGCACAGAACATTCAACAGCATGAGACAATAAGTAGTCTACACTGCATATCGCTTGAATGTTAAAACTTTAGAATTCTCAGTACATCCAGCCCTACACAGAATCACATGATACGTGCAAGTGGTAATAATGTACAACTACATTCCAGCAGGGGCAAACTCTCTCAAGTGTATCCTATACCCATGCACAGGTGACTTAGAGTCTAGACCTTTCGTGAGTGTATATACGCTTGTAAGTATGTTTGTATCTTGCCTTGTAGATGTGTAGTTGTGTAAGTATCCGGATGGAATGATTTGGAATGCCTCAAGGTGAATATCTTTTCAGAAAGAACATGTGCTGCGAATCAACAAACATGCCACTAGCTTTGATCAAGTGATGGTCAAACTGTAAGAATTAGAAGTATACACCGGCCTCAGAGAGATTGGTAATACACATGTGAGGTAGTGAATTTTTAAGACAAAGGTGTAATGTTAGTATTAGCTCGAGCAATCGTTTTGATGTCCAACCTTTTTATTCTTACTATACTGGTCGGTTTGTCTTGAATTGCTCAGATATATGGAGCTCTACACGGGTTCAATTGTAATGGTTAAGTTAGACCTTCAAAGAAAGTCAAAACAGAACAATGAAGGACCAGTTGAATTTTAACTACGAATAATTTACATCAGTTAACAGGTACCATCAACTTAAGCCTTCTGTTTCATTACCGAAGGACAACCTCGTTAGCGATGGAATAACATCGTAATCATCTTCAAACATTCAACACCCATGGTTTGGTGTTAAAAATTGAAGAAGCTGATGAGCAAGATAACTTCTGCAAATATTGCTTACGGAACGTTCAAAGTATCATGTATTCTAAACGAGGGAGTTGGCAACTCAGATTGCTTCGATCTTCAACATCATTGGTGATGAATGGAACCTGATAGAACCTTTACATTTTGCATTTTAGCAATTCCAACAAAACGGTCTATCAGGTTTATGTATTTAGAAGCATTCCAAGTTTCACATCTCAAAACCTACACCCACCATATATCATGTCTCTATTTCTGTTCCCTTGGTTTGTTTATTGCAATTCATTGCACGGAACAGTCTATTTTACACTGTTTTTCCCCCCGAACGCTTAGCGACGTCCAACTTGTCAACAGTGGAGCCAATTTGATGGTGAAAGAAAGTTTTCATAATTCAGTTGTACAATTACTGATCGAACCTTTGAATTCCGACTCAACGGACCTGGCTCTTCATTAAGAGTCTTTAAGCACTAGAACTCTCTCAAAGCTCTAAATGAGTTTTCCCAAATAGGAAGTCAAGGTCCCGGAATTTCCTTCTTTATCTCACGAAGTACCCTCGGAGATCACTGAAAAGGGAAGACCGGTGGGAATGGCCAGCTGCTTGAACCATGGACAATACACTATGGATGGTCTTCTGCAGAGGATAAGAAAGATCTAGAGGACAAAGAACTGCTTAATCTACACGTATAAGACAAGTCAATAAGCCCCCATGGTGTGCTTTTACAATAGGAGAATGTTAACGGCGAGATCAACGGCTTGGTGCCTGAAATGGGTCGTCATAAATGGATTACGCAACAGCTTAGATGGGGTTACGGCTCCCTTTTGGAACCAGAAACCTTTCGGATAGTCAAGCATCGTAAACTGCTACGACACAAGACCCATGTGCTAAATTCGGACATGTTATTTCTCGTTGAGGTTTTCTGAAATGCCCTATGCCTTGTGATTTATAAACGCTATTACATTCATCCAGACACCACATAAATTACCCAGGCACAGCTTGCATGGGAGGCGCTATTATAGAAAACGCCGACGAACGTTTCTTCGGCAAAAGCACTTCCTGAGGTGGATCCACCACTCAACTGTGTATGAATTGATCATGGATATCCTTTACTACACGATCATCAATTATCGATACTTACAGAGGCCACTCGACAATCTGGGAGCTTCGAGGGCGGCCAATAGGCAAAAAGGCATGGGGTAAGTGGGGGGTTACAGTCTCTCCTTTCACATGGCTGTTACTCGTACGCACAAGATGTGTCGATCTTTTTCCTTTTCTTTTTTTACACGGTGATCTTCGCTTATACGCTAATTGGCCAGTAGATTTGTATCATCCACGTGGCCAGGGCATCCATGTTTGAAACCATTCACAATGAAGCAGATAAAAAGCATATAGCCTCACATCAACGGACATTCACGTCCCATGTCTTCACGTCTTCGCACGGTTGATGTTTTGCTGAGCAGGCTTCAGGTTGTGTAGTTTACCAGGCGTTGTGTTTTTTGCTGCATTATACATTAAGTGAAAGCCGACTAATTAAGGGCACGTGAATCAATACGGAAAACTAGCGATGGTGTATCAAACACATGGTCAATTAAACATGGGCCTGCTCAAACTTTGATATGGTTTGATCACCTCAATATATCCAACTAGGTCAATTGTCCCGGTCTCTAAATGGGGTGCCACGAGTTAATAATGTTGACTACTATAACGAAACTGCTTATTAAGAAGTCAGCGGGGTTAAGCATGTTACAAATGACAACATTGTTGTATCGCTTGACACTACTTTGAAGTGTAACGTTTTTCTTGGTATCGTTTGACCATCGGATCTTGGGTAAATACAATAAGGACGATGGCATCTCGCGAGCTAATGCCCACGTTTTCTTATCTCAGAGTTTCCATGGATCTTCATGCATGCCGTCGCATAAAATCCACACGTATTATGGCAACTAACATGCTTTGTAGATGATTTTCTAACTACCATCGGCTGTATTAGTGAATACACAGTGGTAATTAACATCATGCTGTAAAACGTGTTACACACGTTTTGATCCACGGAAGATTTTCACCAACGGTCCACATGTTCGATCAAGCACACAGTATGTCTCCTTGACTCTTTCAGAAGAATAACACTATATAAACCTTTGATCCACCTGCTGTAATTCTCAACTTCACACATACACTACTTGCTACCTCCATTCATACAGTGCAAGATTACTTCAGTAACCAACACAATGGAAGTTGAGAGTAAGACAATAGGTTTCCAAAATGACGAGGAGATCGTTTATGATCAGGAACAACGTCAGCAACGTTACCTGAAGAAGAAAACAGTTTCTGATATCTTCACAATCATCTGTTGTGGTGTTGCATTGATGTCTGATGGTTACCAGAACAATTTGATGACAATGCTCAATCCATTGTTCAAAAAAATGTACCCAGAGGTGTATACCAGTGCACTCAGTACCAGAGTCTCCAACTCCCTTCTTGTTGGTGAAATTATCGGACAAGTCAGTATTGGTTTGACTTGTGACTACTTTGGTCGTAAGAAAGCTATCATTGCCACAACTGCTCTTATCGTCGTCGGTGCTGCTTTAGCTGCTGCTGCCCATGGTAAGACAACTCTTGGTATGTTTTGGATGTTCTTGGTTTGTAGAGGTGCTATTGGTGTCGGTGTTGGTGGTGAATATTCTGCCTGTTCTTCTGCTTCTTCCGAATCTGCCAATGAAGCCTCAAAGAAGAGGGGAGGTGTTTTCGTCATGGTTACAAACTTGCCTCTGTCACTTGGTGGTCCAATTGCATTGTCAATCTTCCTCATAGTTTTCTCCATCTGTACTGAGAAACACTTGAATACAACTTGGAGAGTGTGTACTGGTCTTGGTTGTGCTTGGCCTTTGATCATTTTCTGGTTCAGATACAAAATGGCAGCTTCTATCCTTTACAAAAAGTCCAAGATTAAAAAGAATGTGCCATATTGGCTTGTGTTCAAGTACTACTGGCGTCGTCTCCTGGGAACATGTGGATGTTGGTTTATCTATGATTTCGTTACTTTCCCTAACGGTATCTTTTCCTCAACTATTCTTTCTGGTGTTCTAGGAGCTGAGAAGAGTAATCTGAAGAAGCTGGCCGAGTGGACTTTGCTTCTTTCATGGCTTTCGATTCCTGGTGTCCTCGTGGGTGCTGCTACAGTTGATAAGCTTGGACGTAAGTACTCGCTGATCATTGGATTCAGTGGTTATCTGGTTATTGGGCTTGTCATTGGATGCGCCTATGACAAGTTGAGTATTCACAACGGTGCGTTCATCTTCTTCTTTGGTCTTTTCAACTGTTTCGGTAACTTTGGACCTGGTAACAACATGGGTCTCACTTCTTCTGAATGCTATGCTACCCCTGTTCGTGGTACTCTTTATGGTCTCTCTGCTGCTTTAGGTAAGACTGGTGCTGCAATCGGTACTCAAGCTTTCACTAAAATTCATAATAACCTGGGTGCTAAATGGACTTTCATCATTTCCGCTATCCTAGGGTCTGTTGGTGTCCTGTTGGCTGTTTTCACTATTCCACATTTGAAAGATGATGACTTGATGATGGAAGATGTCAAGTTTGAGAACTACTTGAGAGACAACGGCTGGACTGGTTCTTTCGGGTTCGAAGACGACTCCACTGTTGAAGAGCAATCCTCCGTTGAGGATGTCAAGTATATCGCTGAAGATGTTGACCAAAAGAAGTGAGATACTATCACCTGCCTTACTGTCTGAAGAGATTCTGCTTTTTCAATAGTTTTATATATAATATATCAATGGTATTTTAAAGATATTATAAAAGATTCCGTGAATGGTAAATGTATCAAGGCTATACTTGTAAGAGTGCATAATATTCACCTGTACTAGAGTATTCTGAGGACATGTCTTACAATGTAGAAAATGCTGTCTTTGCAGCTATATGTTTGAAGATGCAGACATAATGATCAGTCCAAGCAATCCTGACTTACGTAGGGGTCTTAGAAGATAACTCGGTGACAATTGAAGTGAGATGAGTTTTCTCTGTGGAGGCCTGTTCACTTTCCTTCCTGATGCCAGTTTCAGTTGGACAATATGTGGTGCAGGAGATAACGATGCTGTAGGTATTAACTTTTATTCAGTGCGAAGCCGAATTGTGTCAATTGAGGTTTCATTCTCGTCATAGACACAGATCATCAAGCTGCCAGCATTACAGCTTGACACCGACAGTGATACTCTAGTGCTAAGCTGTACTCCTTGTCCACATATGGCGCGACATGTGTCTATGGGCGATTTCAAGTCACAATTAGTGATAATACTGGAACTTGGAGTTGCACACGTAAAATGACAACGCTTTGAAGAACATTAAGTGGAGAACCTATGTAACCCTTTTGAACTGTGTCTTACCCACATACTACACCCAAAATATTATTTTCAAAGTGTTGTTCTTGGATTTTGAAGAATATTTGGAATATATATGGCCCATTTTTATTATAATTGTAACATCATAAACTTTTACTCTAAGTTTCTTTTAAATAAATAATAAATTAATGTGTAAAAAGACATGATATTCTATGATTATTAGTAAATTTTTATATTAGTAGAGAAGCCAACAAGCGTTTTAGATATCCATTTTAATGAGAGCTAAATGATTAGCTGGAGCTCACCGGTTCTTTTCTTGAAAACTACATCTGAACGTCTTGAGGGCATCCTCTCAAAACTCCAGAGCCTCCACAAGGCAGATCTGCTCCTGCTTGAAGACAGACCAAGCAAGGTTTTACCGACTCCCCTTCGAACACCACAGCCTGGACTTCTTTTCATCATGGTCACCTTTTACGAGAGGTAATGAAACTTTTTGCTAATCGTGCTCACCAACGTTTCATTGATGATAAGAGACTACTAATGACTGGAAAATGCTCTGTAAACGATAAGGCTCCCCAAAGAACACACATCATAGCTTACGTATGACTTGGCATCAGCTACTAAATAAGTCATATCACACACCAAGTAAATAATCACTCCTAGTGTATATCACATCTTGTGTCATTGCGACGGGTTAACAGATGTAACTGTACAGCACACACCTACGTTGTTCCCACCTGCTTCTGAAAGTCCACCAGTCCACCATGGCTCCTCTCATATGGCTATTATATCCTAGTAGACAAGCTCAGTAATCCTCTGAATACATAAGGAAGATGGATAGCACGGAGTGAGATACCTTCATTATGGGTTTAAGATGGTAGGGGCAACAATACATTGCTCTACAAATGTTGATGGGGCAAATATCAACACTCTGACTCAAACGAGCAAGTCTGGTATAACATTGTTGTCGAATAAGAACCTGAACAGTGTGCTCATGAGACCTGTCGATACCTATAAAGGATGTCATTTTCTATATAGAGTACATAAACGTCGAATTGGTTTGTTTAACCCCATGAATGTCATGGGTTTCTTGCCAAACCTTGGAGCATTGAAGATGAGTAACTCAACTATGGGTGATTTCACCAGCTTCAATGAAGTTAGCAATCCTCCTCGATGGTTGCACGACACTCCAAGCTTTTCTACTTACCAGTGGCATATAGCGAATCTGGTTTTCAGAGGGGTGAAACATGCCCTATGGAATCGTCTTAAAAGGGCTGGTTGGAAGAGAACTCCCATTCCCACACCAGTAGTATTACGGCTTCCAACATATTACACATCTGAGTCTACGTGCTTCATGTATTAGGTTAGTTAAAATGCATTAGTTTCATTAATCTGGATGGTGATCCATTTCTTCTCTTATGTATTAATCTATTCTTGTTTTCGTAGTCCCCATTTCGAAATGTGACGCCACTGAGGTTACTGAAGTATTTGAGGACCTAGAAAATGGAGCATCGGATTCAAAGACAGAGGAAGGGGCCTCTGGTGAAGGAGATTCAGAGCCTTCTAAGGTTGGTGTCAATGTGGCATTGTTGCTGTTGTTGTTGCTAATTGAAGCTGAAATCGGCGTACGCTGTCTTTGTAAAACGTCCATTTCAAACATCGAAGCCTGTCTTGGCTGTTGGACTGAGCCAGAACGGGCCCTTCCAACGACGCCAGAGGATTCAACATCCTGTGCGACGAAAAGAGGGTCCTCTCTGAACATGTCAATCTTTGATATCTCTGCATAGGACCAACGGTTCTTTGCATTCTTATCATTCTTCGGTAGATGTGTGTACTTCGTGTATAGGAATACAACCACAGCCAAGAATGACCCAGCCATAACGTCGATGAAGTAGTGGTGGGTCAGATACATAGTCGACCACCATAGCCACATGACGTAGAGGATGAAAAGAGGCGTTCCTCTTGGGAATAGCCACGACAGGAAAAGTGCATCCATGGTTGCTGAGCCCGAGTGTAACGACGGGAACGCACCGAAAACCACTGGCGAGTTCTTGGAGAAGTTCGTGGTGTAGAGGTCCAGATGGAGCAGCGTATCTATACGAGCCAGCCCACCTGGAGAGCCCAGCATGGAGTAGTTTGCCGGATCCAACCCGTGCAAGATCTTATACCAAGGCGGAGCCGCAGGAAACACCAGCTGGTTGATCACTCCGATCAAGTTCATCGTTCCGAAGGCAAAACCAAATGATCTCAGCGACGTCGGAGGCCCCCACAGGAAGATCAACGCGGCAACGACAAAGGGCAGCGAAAAATGGATGATACCGTATGGTAGCCACGCCAAGATGTCCAAGACTGGCGAAGTGTACGTGGCCAGGAGTTGTGACAAGTTATCGCCATAGAGAATGGTCTCCGCGGCCGGCAGAACCTTCACGCTGATCGGAGGTCTGTACTGTGGCGAGATGGTCGTCGATGAGAAGAAGAAAAAGACCCACGTCAATATCGGCAGCCCATACAGGAAGAACTGCGATGTCACAGGCACAAGCAGTAGCCCAATCAGCAGCAGCACAGCGCCAACTCTGGCAAAGAAAGGAGCCGGGTTCAAGTAGAACGCCATGGACAGGAATACCACCTGTACGCCATAGAAGAACACGTCCGAGCGCGTGAACCTCTTCTGCTCCAGTCTACGTATGGAGCTCTTCGGGTTGAAGTCCCAGTCCAGGTCGGCAATAACAGCGCCTGTTGGCCTCTCATCGAGGAAGTAGCTCTTGAACAACCGAACAGCAAACGACATCGTCTCTCTCAGGCACTGTGGCAGACGAGGGCGATGGCTATGAAGAAGCAAGCAGGAGAAATCGATGGGAAGAAGAGTGTTTTGTTTACGAGCCAGTACGAATTGTGAGGATTTTATCGTGCGGTTGTAAATGCTCTCGGAGGCTTTGCTCGGTTAAACTTTGCGCTGTGTTTTTTTTCTTTTTTTGCGATATTTTTGCGATATGTTTGCGTCACGATTTCCTCTTTGGGATAGGGGGACGAAGGGTTATGCTGAATCGGGGTGGTTTGCGTCATTTGTCCGTTCGTATTCTGTTTCTGCCGCCAGATACGGAATACCGGATTCGGAACGTTTGGCGCAAAGAATTAGCGCAATTGGGACATAACATGTCGAGCGATGAGATGAATGATGCGGTGCTCTGAACGTTCTATCCATGCTGCGTAGCCCAATTGGCGTGTGTCGACCCTCACGAGCCCTTGCTGCTGTGCTACTGTGAGGGTGCCGGTTTTTTCGCTGTGCTTTTAGCTCATCTGGTGGCTATGCCATGGTGCTTACCAGGTGTGGGTGTGGTTTTGATGTGTGGACTTGTAAATCGTCCTCGACGTTGCCATATTGGCTGTTGATGAGTGTGTCGTCGTTGCTGATCGAGATCAGTACAGTAGCAGCTGGGAGATTTTGCTGTGAGGGCCCCAATATGGTCTTTTGGGCCCATTATATGGGAAACTCACGCTGGAATGGGTGAACAAGGGCAGCCCTCTCAAGACCTGCAGATTATTGATCATTCACACCTTGAGGCTCCAACTGGAGCTTAGTCTTGGAGAAAGCTTATTAACCTTGTAGGCTTCGTCACCCACTGCTTTTGCAATGTCGTCATATCTCGTTTGCCCCAGTGTTTTGCATACATCACGTTGACATGTGGCACTGCCATGATTTCCCTAAGTGATGTGGAGTGAATCTTAGCACATGGCCCGATTTTAGGTCAAATCTCAATCCCAACTGGGGTGTTGGTATGTTTAGATTATCCGTATGACTGGGCATCCCACCTAAGTGGTGGTTTCCAGTCGCCTGACCCATGGCTCTTCGAACTTCATATATACACATCAGTGACTCGGATGGGAGCGTGGTAACCAGGCCTGCACTTGTATACACTTCCCAGTCATTTTGGTTACATCCATTGTTGTCATTCACTCAACGGTGTGTCTATCACCACCGTGGCTAATCCAGCTGTTGATGTACGGGAATATATATATAGTCATGCCTGTCTACAGTGGACCTCCAGGCCAATGTCACTACAGATAGACATAGACAAATAGTGTGAATCGAGGCCAATTTACTATAGAGCAGCCACAATGATACGCCATCCAATCTTCAAAGTCATACAAATCTCCATATCAGGGAATGGGTTTACAATCCCCAGGTGGTGGCGATGTTCTGTACGAGCTGTTCCACACATGTAAGATGCAATGTAAACGGATGTTGCTATAGAACCCAAAACAATGCTAAGACCTCTGTTCCTAGACAGACGAACAAAGAAGCCCACAACAAGTAGGCAATGGAGCACTCACAGTATATGGCATTATCAACACACGCTTAAAGGCCCATTGTGATAACCATTTATCATTGTCCTCAGCATCTGTATATATCTCCATCATTAGCTCAGCATTACTGCTGGTAAGAAGACATATAATGCTTTATGCATCCTTTCGAGGTCCAACCGTTGCTACAAACAGTCTAAACATAGATAACGAACCCAATCACACCGAAATATTCCACCAATTAACACCCATGTAGCCATTAGAAGGTGGTATTCATTGTTCTCCATTATTATATATATACATATATCACGTGCATATCACGTGATATTTATCACTACAAAATTTTGTATGTGTGTGGTTTTTTCCACTTGGTGTGCTACTTTGCAAACACCAGAAGAGCTCTCTAAACAAAGTCTTGTGAGCTATTCGCCATTGAAAGGACCAGCTGGAATGAGCGAGATGGATATGTCATCGGTGCGTCGTTCGTCCCGTGCCAACAAGGGACACCACAGGCGTCTTGAGGAGGAACAGAAGGAGTTGGAAGAAGCCCTGCGTAGAGCAGAGGAGGAAGCTGAGGCTGAGAGGCTTAAGGAAGAAGATGAGCATGTCTTGTGCACTGTGTGTGGCACTACGGATGCAAACTACGACGAGACTACTGACGAACGTGATATGATCCAATGTGAAAAGTGTCGTACATGGCAACACAACGAGTGTCTTCTAAAGGATCCGAGTATTATACCGGACAATTATCGCTGTAATGTTTGTGATCTGGACGACCCTTATTATAAGACATTGGAGTGCAAATTGGATCCTGTGATGGTTCGAAAGGAGCTGGATGAAGACGACAAGAAGAAAGCCAGAAAGAAGTCCGAGTTTTTGAGAGTGCTCAAGGATTTCAAAGATGAAGACGGCGCGGAAGAAGACGATGAAGGTGACGAGGTTCAGGATGGCGAATCCGATGTCTCATCCTCAGAGAGTTCGGATGAGGCCGGTGACGACGACGACGATAACATTGATGAGGAGGCTGAACGGTTGAGGAAAGAGTTGAAGGAGGAGAAGAGACGGTTAAAGTTGGAGAAGAAGATTGCTAAAGGTTCGATAAAACGGTCAATGTCAGACGCCAATGATGAAGATTCCAACAAGAGTAAGAAGCCAAAGAAGACCAAAGTGACAAAGCCGGCTCTTGACCATATCGAGGAGAAGGCAAGACAGGCAGTAAGGAAGAGGTTTGAAGGCATGTTTCTCAACCTTTTACCAGGCCATACGATCCCCAATGAAGAGGGCACCATCGAAGAGATCTCGAATAGATGGGCTCACAAGCTGGAAGAGGACCTGTTTGAAGGACATCATGATCGAGCTACCGGGAAACTTACAAAAGACTATAAAGAGGCCTCTACAAGGATCTTTGTCAATATCCGTGATGTCAAGAATACCAAGCTAAGAAACTCCATCATTGACAGAGAGATACCTTTCAACAAACTGGTTAAGATGACTGTTAATGAGCTGCTGAACCCTGATCTGCGTAAGGAGAAGGAAGAAGCCATAAAGGAGTCGATGACACAGGCCACCTTGGAGAAAGTCAAGGTCTCAAACATTAGAAGAACACACAAGGGAGACATTGTCCTGGAGAATGAAGAAACTCAGGCTGCATCACAACAGTTTGACTTTAATGTTGGACTGCCACTCGACGACAACGAGAGGAAGTTCACGGATGATCAACCAACAGTTGAGCGTAAGAGTGTTGATCTCGGTTCAAAGGATATCAACGGGATGTATAACCCTCAACACTTTGTCGATGAGGAGGATATCGTCCACAACGGTGCAGACGAAGGTGACGGCACCCCACAAAACATTGAACTCTTTGAGGATGAAGAGGATGACGACTTGGCCAAGATTCTTGGAGAAACCAGTAAGAAACTGGCCGAGGTTGATGGATACGATCCAACAGTGGTTCAGCTCAATTCACAACTATGGCATGGACAAACAGTGTTCGCTGGTGTGACTAATTTTGAGAGTTGCTTGCAGTTCAACAACACCACGTTGAATCCTGACGAGTTCAGAGACATTGCGTATAGTGTGTTCGATGGTAACCTGCCACTTGAAATCCAAGGACGATTGGACACTCGTAAAGCTGAGGACTATCTCCTAAAGATCTCCACGTCGAGGAAGATGATCTTACTGGAGCTGAAGAACTCTGACAATGTTGGAAATGGCTACAAGAGACTCTGGGACTACCTCGATTCAAAGAGCAAGTACGGTGTGTTGAGGAACACACAACCGTTTGTGAAAGATGCCTATATCTTACCGATTTCTACAAGGCTCCCGAAGTGGTTCAAGACGTTTAGCAACTTGAAAGTTGAAGGCGTTGCTGACAGGCTGTACGTTGTTCTCGTTGTTAGACAGGAGATGATTCACGATTTTGCAAAGAGTACACAACAGCCATTGATGGAGTACGACGCAACGGCCTCGCTAGGTCCTAATGAGATGGCACTGATGCAGAAGATCTTCGAGGAAAGGCCAGAGACCAAGAACAACCCAACATTGCTCGTACAGCATCTACAGCAGCTCTTGAAGAACACCATGTAAGTACATAATGGCAAAGATATCTACAGCTCTAATGAGGAAAACCCGCAATATATGCCCAAACGTAAATAAAACAATTATACAAGATTAATCATTTAAGCCTTAGCCAAAGCCTTCTTGACAGCAAATCTTTGTTGTTTCTTCAACACCAAAACTTTGAATCTGTCAAAGTCAGAGAGACCTCTTCTGGTTTCTCTTTGAGCAATCTTCTTAGCCCAGGAGGATTGAGCCCATTTCTCAGAGACACCGGCAGCGGTGAACTTCTTAGCAACGGTAGCGGTTCTAGCACCTCTTGGAACGGAGTAGGTCAATGGGGTAAGAACAACGTGGGCAAGAGAAATGGATTGACGTGGAACACCAGTGGTTGGACCGTCAACAAGAGCCTATTGTACTTTGTTAGTATGCTGTCTTAAAATCAAACTTTTCGAGAGATGGGATCGTCAGGTGTGGTGTGATGCTATGTGTGAGCACCGTGTGCGGTGCCAGACGTCTGTCTGTCGTCTTGGTGTGGTGTAGCTAGTCCTTCGTGTTCATAGTGCACCAGCGTGTGGATATGAGCTTCACGGCGAGCTCCTCAAGGACACACATTCCAGCGCTTTCTATTCGACTCTCCACCGCTTAGACCAAGCATTCACACGTGTACACACGTGTACACACACACACACTCTCTCTCTCTCTCTCCTCTCTCGTAAACGGAAACTCACTCTCTTGTGGTCAATGATCTCAACGATAGTGGCCAACTTTCCCTTGTATTGGCCCTTGTTGACCAAGACAACACGGCCGACTTCGACCAATCTCCAGTTGGAGGCCTTAACAGTGGTTTCGGTGGACATTTCTTCTGTGTTTAATGAAAACCTGCTTTGGTTGTTGAAGAACTTCTCTTGAGGTGTGAAATATTGGTTAGTGAGGTTGTTGAAGTTTTCACTTTTGCCAAACAGAGTCACCGGCACCGCACACACGCCCGTACCAACACACCGCGAACACACACGCGCACACAAACACACGAACACCACGCAAAACTGCGGTGGTGCGTGGTGGTGGTGTGTGGGTGTTTGAGGTGTTGTGACTTGTTTTTCTTTTCTTTTCCCGGTGCGCGCGGGGCTCAGCGGCAGAAGCAGGGTGCGGTGGCGGTGGTGTGTGGGTGTGTCGTGCCCTAGTGTGTGCCACATCACGTGGGCAATAGGGCTGCAAAATATGCTAACCGGAGCCCTAAGTGTTGAAAACTTTTCACTTTATAAACGGGGATGAATTATTAATTTCTTCTCGCTTTGCTCAGCTTTGCCGTCCTGAAGAAGCCACTTTGAGCCTATGGCACCATGACGACGGAGACCAGCTGTGGAGAACCACGATTGTATCAATTGTAGAGCCAGGGGAGTTCCCCATCTACACTTGATACACTGTGGTTCCTCTAGCTGGCTGTAACACTGTTTGTGCCTGTAAAGCAGGTTGAAGGTATCGATGATGACTCTAATTTGCGTTTGACTGCCCCACAGATACCGAAACACGCCTAGTTTCAACTATGGGTCTGTGTGGTGCGATGAAACCAATTTTTATACCGTCTGAGTGATCCTTCAATGGTGCTTCACGCCGTGGTCATTGGTGATGATGATGGAGAAAAAGAAGTCTCTATAAGGGTATGTGAACCATTCTTGAGACGCCAACGCCAGTGGAGAAGCACATTATCTATCGGGATGAGAAACGTTACGCCTATTCTTGATAACTAAATGAAGATTAACAAACTTTTTACACCAAGATCTACGCTGAGTCATATATAATGTGCTACTGCCTGCCTTGCAACCTTGCTATGTCCTCCTGTCGACGTATACTAACAATGCCTTCGTAGTGAATCCCTATGTATCTGTATATAACTGCGATAATTGCCACGTTTACTGCAATTGAAGGATTGTCTCGTAGTGTTAAAACTTGTTTCTAGCCCACAATTTTGAGTGCCGTAAGCGTGTGCTTCTCTTTTTTTTTGGGCTGGGGACATATATACAGAAATTTATCAACTGGTAGCATATAAACTGGAGCCAATTGCTTTCAGAATCAATCCTCACAGAGCTTTAACTCAACAGGAGATACTAATGTCGTACGCACAATCAGAAGCGAATAACAATGCCAAATTCGACGAGCTGAGCTCAAGATTATCAACGTTCCGTAATATAACTCAAGACATTGACAACATTGCAAGGGATGATTCGATAATTACACAGTTGAACGAGCAAGTTTCGAGGATCTATGATAATATACGAGACTCTTCACACGGGCTTACAAGAGCGATGCAAAGTGGCAATTCTGTCTGGAGATATGTTGGAATGGCGTTAGGTATATTCTTCATCATTTGGATGCTTACAAAGCTCTTTTAGAATCTTTTTATTTACGGGTGTGTATAGTTTTATTACAAGAAATAACACACTGTGGCATTGTGGGAACAACTCATTTGGCAACGTCTTTGCCCAATCTGTAATTACCAATGGCATTACCCCATTGAACTTTGGCCCTTGTCACAGGTAATTGTCTTCTCAGTTGTTTGAAATGCTGATCGTTTAGCTGTGAGATTGTTCTCTGCAAATCACGCTCCACAATATCCTCCGCAGACCCGATGGTCTTCACCGGGTCATCTGTGGATTCCTCAACAGAATGTTCGCCTAAGAATCTGACGTTGCCGTCTTCGTAGTAGTGAACGTCAACTGATATTTTCCCCCTGAGAGTAGCACCGTCAAAGTCATACACTGATCTCCATCTTGAACTCCAGAAGTTTGCCACGTTTGATTTGGACCCAACTACTATGATGACATCGGGTGTAACTAGTACGTCAACCTCATTGGGGTACTTATCATCCACATATCTCTGCAACTCTGATTCCAATGCAACGCAGAGTTCATCAGAATCGCTACTCTCTTCATCAACAACCTTCAGCTTGACGTGATCCACAGTCACTGTGATCCCCTTCGCATAGTCAATGAACTTATCCGTAGAGCCTTCCAATTGGTTATACTTGGAGAGTATAACACCTCCCTTGGAACTTTGAACAACAACATTGTTCTCCAGGTTATAACGAACCAGTGAATCGGAGATTATGGCATTGATGTTACTTGAAGAGATCTTCTTAAGGTCCTCCAACACTTGTGGGATTTCATCAACTGGCGCATCAGCAATCAATTGGTCTATAACGTCGTCTAACTTCATCTTCTCGCTAGCTTTGAGGGGGCCTTTAAGGTGTAAGTTTCGATATGTCAGACCCAACGATCCCGAAATTATGCCCCGTAGCCCTTCTCCCTACCTGTTTATATATATGGTGTACGGGTGTATTGATGTACGGGTTTACTGGTGTACGGGTGTGTAGATGTGCGGATGTTTACTTACACATACTTATCTAACTTAACGTGGATATGGAGCTTGCTGGTAGTTTAGAGGCTGTTGGTAATTCCCCGTGGCCTGTGATGGTACCTGCTGCTGTCCGGTTTGTTGCTGCTGTGGATACCCGGTTTGTTGCAGTTGCACCTGTTGTTGTGGATATCCAGTTTGTTGTTGTTGCACCTGTTGTGGTTGATAACCGGTTTGCTGCTGTTGCACCTGTTGTTGCTGGTACTGCTGGGTATAATGGTACTGCTGTTGCTTTATAGGGTCTGTCATCTCCTCATAGGAGATTGTGGCAGTCTTCAGCTTACCATAAAGATCCATCAAATCATCTTTTCTCTGGCGATACTTATCAATCAACGTTGCCAATTCAGGTTTGATCAAAACAACTCTTTGGTATAGAGTCTTGAACTCCTCACTCTGTGTCAATGCCAGCGACTCTTCGTCGTTAGACGCTCTTGTGAGCAAGACCAGTAGCTTCTCAACATCAGCACTGCGTGAGAGGATTTCTTGTTCCTTCAGTTGTTCTTGCATTAACTCTTCAGGAGTAGGGTCGTACAATGGAGTAACGTAGTTGAAGGGGAATAACCCGATGACGCCCCGTAATGAGCCTTTCCCCCAGTCTTTATACACCCTTTCGATCACCGTTATTACATCGCCCTTGTGGAATTTCAAATCAGCAGGGTCGTTTGAGAATGAGTCGTACAAGGCACGGACCCTTGAGAACGTACGTTGAGGTTGCTGAACTTGAGCTGGAGCCTGTGGTTGAGCTGGAGCCTGTGGTTGAGCCTGTGGTTGAACCTGCGGCTGAGCCTCCACTTGAGGTATCTCTGGAAGTGGCTGTTGCCTCTGAGACTCCCTAAGCGATAGTTCAATAGCTGTTCTCAAATCAGCATCTTCATCTTTCAATTCAAACTTCTGTGGCTTAGTCGGCGCCAGGTACTGTGGGAAACTCAACTTCACCTCACGGTACGCCTCGCTAACCGGCTTCAACGAAGGATCCCTGTGGAAAGAATCGTCCAGCTGCGCCAACACAGTGGTGATCTTGGTCTTTATCTCTCGGTGCGTCTGTGGATCCCTCATCTTGGAGAGCAGCAGCTGCATAAACGATTTCGTAGCAATGAGCTGTTGAGCTCGAGAACCGCAGTTCTCTGCAATGGCAACCAGCAGCGTCAAGCTACGTAACAACACGTTCCCATCTTTCAACGACAGCTTATACCGGAGGGCATCAATGGCTTTGGAACAGTACTGTTCTGGGTCCTCGAGGATCTTATCACACACATCGAGGTTGTACTGCCAATTGTCCTGTGTCAGCGTGGCATCCGTTGCCTTATTGATGAGGCTATCTAACGACGACATCCTTCCTTGCTCCAGTGTGCTTTGTAGTGACCGTGGGCCTACGAAAGGGGGATAACAACACATAAGACATAAACAATGAAAGTACGCTCCCACCGCCGCCTCCGCCCCGACCACCGCACCGGAACTGGGCTGGCTGTATACGTGGTGTGCGGGTGTGGTGTCCGGATGAGGCGTATGTTACATAAGCATTATGTAATCATAGGGATTACGTAATCTACCCCTATTCCTGCCGCGAATATTTCCCCTTTGGGGCATCACCATCCTGCCTCGGTGAAGGTCTGTTGCTTATGGCCAGCATCAAAACTTTTCCCCAACACGCTTGAAGCCGTTGAACCGTGAGCTACTGCCATTGCTGTGCTCTTGTTGTTGATCACCAGGACCTGTGAATACTCTCGGAATCGGTAGCTATACGTGCGAAGAAGATTGAGATGAATAAGTCGGGTACTACTCCTCCGCACACTCCAAAGGGAAGAAGAAGAAGAACGTCATCGGTTGGTAAAATCGACCTTGGTGATAGCGTTCCAGGCTTCTCTGCGCAGGCAGAGACCCCGTCCGAACGCCGCCGGTCCATCTCAAGGATAAGTGCTCTGTCCAGGGCCTCGTCGACAGACTCCGAGATCTGGGCCAAGATGTGGACCGCATGTGTTGAGCTGAACCATAGGCACATCTGGATAACACCGTTGGCCATAATGGTTGTTGTTTACTCCGCGTACTTCCTCTCTGGCAACTACACCGAGTCCAATCCACTGCACATGTTCGTCACTGTGTCGTACCAGGTTGGAGACACCTCAATGTACGGGAAGGGCATCAAGGACCTGGCTTTTATTCTGTACTATATGGTTTTCTTCTCATTCCTGAGAGAGTTCGTTATGCAGTGCATTCTGAGACCAATCTCGACGTTAGTTGGGCTCAAGAAGACTTCAAAGATCAACCGTTTCTTGGAGCAGTCGTACTCGATCTTCTACTACGGGACCTCGGGTCCGTTTGGGTTGTACGTGATGTACTATTCTGATCTCTGGCTCTTTAGAACGGACACGATGTATGCCACGTACCCTGACAAGGAGATCGATTACCTCTACAAGGTGTTCTTCCTGGGACAGGCTGCTTTCTGGGCACAGCAGTCTGTGCTCTTGATCCTACAGGTTGAGAAGCCTAGAAAGGATTACAATGAGCTGATTATGCATCATATCGTCACGATGCTTCTCATCTGGTCGTCGTACGTCTTCAACTTCCACAAGATGGGATTGGCCGTCTATATCACCATGGACGTTTCCGATTTCTTCCTGGCAACTTCAAAGGTTTTAAACTATCTGGACTCGCCGTTGACGGGACCTTGGTTCATAGTCTTTGTCGGAGTTTGGATCTACCTGAGACACTGGATCAATATGAAGATTCTGTGGTCTGTGCTTACAGAGTTCCGTACTGTGGGTCCGTATAGATTGAACTTTGCCACACAACAGTACAAGTGTTGGATTAGTCAAAGCATTACCTTCGCGTTGATCTTTGCTCTTAATTTGCTCAATTGCTATTGGCTATTCTTGATTCTGAGAATCCTGTATAGATTTGTCGCTGACAACGAGGCCAGAGATGAGAGATCAGACTCAGAGGATGAGGATGATGATGAAGAAGAAGACAATGAAGATAACAAAGTCCAAGAGACTTTGAAAGAAGAGGAAGAAGAGACAATTGAGGCTAAGAAGGACAAATAGTCAAGAAACCGGAACATGCACATACAATAATAAGAAGGGAATATACACATTCCCAGCTAATATGCGCTTATCATAATAATTAATACTTCAAACTGGTATCTACTAAGGTATTGTGTAATTAAACAAATGAATGAGATCATTTATTCGAGCGACGGTTACACTTCAAATGTTGGTAGACAACTCATCAAAATGATTAGATGAAGAGCATTCCGAAGACCAAACCAACAAGAGTGGAACCGACAATCTTTGTAGCTGCGCCTTCAAAGGTGCTGACAGCAACATCAGTTGAAGAGACACCAGCTTCAGTGGAAGCCTCGGATTGTTTGGTGACAGTTGAAGTGACATGAGCTGTCTCAGTGGAGGTCTGTTCAGCTTCCTTTGTAGCACCAGTTTCCTCACCTTCCTTCGTAGCACCGGTCTCGGTTGGACAGTAAGTGGTGTAGGTGGTAACGTCACCTTCAGCTCCAGTGGTGGTCACAGTGGTGACACCGGTGGTCTTTGGAATCTCAGTGCACTTGTCCTCTTCACAGGAGGTGATGGTGATGACGGTGGTACTGATACTTTCCTCAGTAACAGTGGAGATAGGACAGTAGGTGGTGTAGGAGGTCACGACGCCAGAAATGGTTTCAGTAACAACAGTGACACCAGTAGTGACGTCTGTAGTGGAGCAGACATCGTCACTACATGAGGTGACGGTGATAACTGTGGTGGAATCAATAGACTCAGTGGTTGTTGAAGTGATGTTGACGAAACCTGAGGAGGACGTGATGACCTCTTCAGAGCTGGAACTGATATCCTCATCAGAGCTGGAGCTGGTATCCTCATCAGCGGTGATTGTAGAAGACAATTCCCAAGTTTGAACAGCTCTCTTAGCAAATCTCTTATCATCAGGGGTGGTGATAGACAACAAAGCGTTGGAGGTCCACGAGCCACCTGAAATGATACGAGCAGCGAATGTGATGGTTAGTACATCAGATTCGTCGATCTCAGAACTAATACCAATGGTGATGGATTCTGCGCTGATGTTGATTTCAAGACCTTCAACTTCCTCACCGTTGACGGAAGCATTTGCATCAGAGTATTCAAACTCGCCAATAGAACCGTTGTTGGACACAGCCAAGTCAACAGAGGTCCAAGGACCAAGGGTTCCTGGTATGGTAATGGTCCATTCTGGAACACCAGAGATGAGATCACCGGTGAAAGTTGGCTCTGGAGCAACATCTGAGGATGGGATGATCTCAGAGTCCTCTGATGAAGCGGACGACTCTGTTGGCTCAGATGATGCTGGCTCTTCCGTTGTTTCCTCAGTGGTTGGCTCAGCAGTTTCCTCAGTGGTTTCCTCAGTAGTTGGCTCAGTAGTTGGCTCAGTAGTTGGCTCAGTAGTTGGCTCAGTAGTTGGCTCAGTAGTTGGCTCAGTAGTTGGCTCAGTAGTTTCTTCAGTAGTTGGCTCAGCGGTGGTTTCCTCAGTGGTTGGCTCAGCGGTGGTTTCCTCAGTGGTTGGCTCAGCAGCAGTTGTTTCAGTAGTTTCCTCTGTTGTTTCCTCTGTTGTTGGCTCAGCAGTAGTCGTCTCAGCAGTAGTCGTTGGAACTTCAGTTGTTGACGAGGTTGTTGTGCATCCACCGGTGTAATCACAGGCATTAATACCCGTGTCAACAGTGTACTCATCAGTCAAAGTCGTCGAACATCTCAATGTACCTGTTGGCTCAGTTGATAGAGTCTTACAGGCAGCCAATGCCTCACTGACATAAGGACCGTAGTACTTCCACAGAGTCCAACCACAGTTCATACAAGAGGCATAGTATTGGTTCAAAGAAGAGTCACTACTACAGAGACAAGTAGTGTTGTATGGACCAGCGTACGAGTTAGTGGTGTTGAGTGTACACTCAGAACCACCCATAATCATCAAACCACAAGAAGCATGACAGGCGATAGTGGCACAGTCGTCTGCGGATGCAGCCAAAGCGTAGGCTTCAGGATCAGGATGAGCAATAGCAACAGCTTCAGCGTATGCCTCAGCATACGCTTCAGCAGCAGCACTGGCGTATGGGTTAGCATTAGCCCATGGCAGAGCTTCAGCGATGGCAGCTGGGTTTGGAGCAGCCACTGCAAGAGAGGTGGCTGCGAAAAGAGCAGTGGATAACAAGTGAATGGAAGGCAACATTATAACAAAAGGAGCTATGTTGGGTTACACTGTTCTACACATCATGTGCCTGCCATTAGAGAGGCTCAAAAGTGGGAAAAGGTGATTCTATATAAGCTCGGTACAGTAGAGCCCTTCAGAAGAGCAGAAATACGAGGGCATTACGCTAGCCCCTTGATGGCTGTTCCAACTCGGTGGGATCGACGTCCAAAGTCACGTCCTCCTTCATGTTCTTCTGCACACGGCTCTGTGAATTACCAATATGGAGAAACCGGGGATTAAGCAAAGCATTGCCATGGGCTAAAATGGGCGTTTCCAGTAGAGTCCACCATCGACACCTTCCGTATTGGGACTATTTGAGGGTGTCAGTTATGCACCTCCCTGCATGTTCAGTGGTCGGGCGAGGAATAAGGTTTGCTCCTAGGGGCGGTCTCTGATCGTCGTCTCCCGTAGCAACAAGGGGTTCTGCCGTTCATTATTATCTAAACCATCAAATGACTTATGTAGTCCGTAATTGAATGGTTGCTTGTATGTGAAACTGGGGGTGAGGTGACCTTCAGTGACCACAGCTACATGTGTCACGATGTATGAAGATTAATCTGTCAACTCCGACGCCTTCTACAGACTTCGAGACTGATATTATGAAGTTGGCATGAGCGGGACTGAAGGGGTGCTCAAGCTCATGACTACGGGACTAAGGGACTCGGAAGTTCCTATTCAACCTCAAACCTTAAAGCCCACGGGCTGCACGCGCCACTGCGCAGCACACCGTGGACTATGAGATATGAGCTCATAGTTTAATACGCAACCAATGTTTTGGTTACCTTCGAGGTTGAGTTCCTCCACCCAGCTCACGTTCGTGTTCTTTTTTTAGGAAGTTAGTACGGTTAAATCTGGAGCTGCTTGCTCATTTGGGAATATGCGTGGGCAATAGAGTTCATCAGTGTGTACAGTTCATTGTAGGCACATTTATTAAGCTGTAATAGAGATGTGCTTCGGCTCGGCGATCATCAATGCCTAGAACTGTATCTAGGCATACATCTCCCCCGGCTCTAGTGATGGTTGATTAATGTTAGCTTACTAACAGCAAACATCTACACTAGTCTTTCGGCACCTTGAAGGCCCTTGCGATGGTGTGTGCGTAGTTTTCAATAGTAGGTGTTGAGAATCAAGAAAAGGTTCCAAATAGGCAGAATGTCATGTTCCAAGTCACCGATAACAATCTAAGCATCGAGTAACGATACACCCATTTTCGAACATGAGCAGGTTCGAATTGTTATTATTTCGTCTCATTACTGGAGTTCGACTCTCTCCATTTTCTGTTAATGATAAAGCAACGTGCTCTAAAGATTAATAAGCGCAATACTGTTTCTGTTATAACTATGTACCAAAATATGCGTCACTGTGATATTTACAAAGAAGAATCAACGTTTGATTCATTCGCAGCTCTGTATTGGGCAAACTGCGTCAATCTAGTATTGTAACCCTTTTCACCGCTCTTGCTCAAAACACCGCAGAGAAGAGTAACAGATCTACGCGAACTGTCATTTGCTGGGATAGGATATGTCACAAGGGAAGATTCTGAATCCGTATCAATGATACCAACAGTTGGAACTCTTGTCTGCGCAGCTTCGTGAAGTAACACTCTGTTTTCAGTTGGGTTCAACACAACGATAAGGTCTGGTTTCACAATGGAACGTTGTTCTTGAGCAGTGAGTTGTCTTCCGGTTGGTCTATCACCCATGTCGACTTCAACGCGAGCCCATTTGGATGAAATTTCAGTCGCGTTGGTCAACGTTCCAGCGGTCCATTTGGTAGAGATGTAGTAACCACCACATCTAGATGCACTCTTCTCCAGTACACGTTCATATGGAGAAGAACCAACAAATAAGATAACACCACCTTTCAAGGCAACTTCTTCAACAACTCTACATGCCTTTTTCAAATATACAAGGGTCTTTTCCAAATCGATGATGTGAATTCCCTTGTATTCACCGTAGATGAACTGTTGATTGGATGAACGGTAAAGAGACTTTGAATGGCCCAAGTGTGCACCAGCAGCTAGGAGCTTAGCAATGCTCATCTTTTCAACTCCCTGTGGGCGTGAAACCTCCAAATGTGGGATATAAACGTCTCTCAATTGTGAGCCGAGTCTACTAGCGTTCTTCTCCAAGAATTCACGACGTAAGTACAACTCCTGGGATGTGTATGGCTCATGTTTATCACTACGCTCCAATCTTGGATATTGTGTATCTGTACCAATCGTCTTAGCACCGGTAGTATCCCTGATCTTCTTGTTTGGCAAGTCGACGGTGTAATCTTTCAAGAAATCGGCAACCTCTTTGTTCTTAAGCATAGCTTGTTTCAAGCTATTATCCAAGTCACGCTCTTGTGATGGAGTCAATTTCAGTGCTTCCGTATGAATCTCCTCATAAAACTCCTCTGAAGTGAGTTCACTAAGTTGTCCCTGTGGGGCACTCGAAACGTCTTCTGGCTTTACGCTCGACGACGTCTTTGTTGATGTTCCGACAGATGCCTCTGTACTTAAAAAGCGCCCATTTAAACGGGTGAAAACAGTAGCTAAATATAGTTAGCATTTTACAAAAATCAGAAGTTATGACTCAACACTTACGGAGCCTTCTAAACATCATCCAGTTCACTTTCTCGTTATCTTCTATTCCAATGTGTTCTCCATTTCAGAGCACTCGAAAGTCAATTTTGAAAGAATTTTTCAACAGCTGGAAATCTAAGTAGGGTAACACGCTCACCCATACACCACGAAAAACACTAACTACACAACGATGTGATGCTTAAACGATTAGTATTTTGTAAATGGATTAGAAATGAGAATTGGGAAAAGGAGAAAAAAGGTATCGACATCACGCTAAGAGAGTAGGAAAGCACCTGCACCTTCATAAATTGCAGTTTTAACCTTTGAAGTTAACATATCCAAAGACGAATAGTCCGGTAACTTCAAATAGTTTGCACAAGTCATGACACTTGGTAAATAATCATCTGGTTTCAGCCCGTCTTCGGCTCTTTTCAAAACAACAGTGAAGACTGGTTTCAAGTTTTTGAATCCCCCAATTGGTAAACGCGGTGATCCTGTAAGGAATTTTAGGAAAGACCGACGTTCATCGTGTGTAAAACTGGTCATCAATTTGATCAAATTCTGGACGCTCTTGGAATCAATATTATAGCCGTGATCTGCATGAATACATGAGGCCAACGTTTGATATGACCAATCCTCTGAGCTTTCACCTGTTAACTTGACGATCTCAAGTGGTGAAAATACAAGCATTGAATAATAAGGGAAAACTTCAGAAAATCCAAGGATGAAGCTCTCCAATTGGTCTTGAATACCCTTATTGAGAGTCCAATCAATAACGAGTTCGATATACTCCTGAACATCTCCAGCAGAACTTACTATTCTTTCTGCTCCCCCTTCAACAAGTTCAATGTCATATCCAGGAACTGTGAAATTTATTCCTAATTCTGCGACAAAGTCATCGTCACCCTGCTTTTCTTTCAAATACTTCAAAGACTTGTACAGCTGTAGGTCAATATCTTTCAACTTTTCAAGCGGAAAGGCGTCATACTTCTGTTCAATCTCCAAAGCGCATAGTTCGAAGAAGACCGGATTGAACGAGAAATCCAAGATACGGCCGTCCAAAAGAGCACGTGCAATGAACATTCCCAAATACTTGAAATTCATCATACGGTCATCAAAATTTGGGTCGTTTGGGGATATTGGCGCTGGAAATAGGCCCAGTTGGGAGTAAACGTACCCATCCTCGCTGCTTTCATTATCTCTCCAGAGTTTTAAACTCTTCTCTGCAAAGCAATGACACACGTTAGAATAGAACTCCAGAGTCGGACCCAATCCTGTACCAACTTCATCGTTGAACTCAACTTCCAAAATACTTGGATGGGAAGCAAGCTTGTCTAAAACTTTGAAAGCACTCTTCAACAGATGCATACGAGAAACACGCACCTTGTGTCTAGTAATACGACCCAACGATAAGCTGCTATTGTTTTGATTGTCACCATCGGTATCTTGTGAAGCCTTATTACTCCATAACTGAATCAATCTGGAATAGCCAAAGGAAGTGGACTGCAAGAAGAAAATTCTTGTCTCTAACGGGAACAAAAAGGGAAAGGCACGAGTGATGTGAATAGACCAATCGGGTAATATTCCAGATGCAACAATTAAAGGTTCTTCTAACTGCCTTTTCAATTTTGCGGTTAGCTTGAAGTTCACAAACAACGAATCATCTCCATTAGGATGAAACCTGTACAAGACTTTAAGCAAATTCAAGATACTGATAGTTGAAGGCTGATTTAGGAGCTCCAACTCTTCTTGACTTGTAGTCGGGTACTTCTCGTCGAGATCCAAGTAAGGAACAGGACCTTTCACTTTGCGGAATGTCACATTGTGTACCTCTTGCCAAAATTTTGTTGTATCAAAATTTGAGTTTTTGGCCAGAGAACTCTTATAGAGGGCCCCGTATATCGTTGTCTCTAATGGAATCACCTCATCATCAATCGAAAATTCCAAATACCAATCACCTTTGATCGATGTAGTTGCTGGCGATCCAAAGAAAAGAGGCATAGTAACCTTGCGTTTCAAAAATGTATTGATATTGTTGAATGAAGCAATAGCGTGTACCAAAATGACAAAGCTCGACATGCCTTCTTCAAACAACGGCTCATCATCATCAGGATCTGAGACATAAGAAAGTTTGAGTTTGAGCTGTTTACCTAAAGATGCAGCTCTATTTTCACCAGTTTTCAAGCCACATCCTATAATTCCAAACGATTCTGCTCTTGTTAAAGATTCTTGGAGTTTGTGCATGAGTGTTTCGAAGATTTCGTCCTTAAACACCTCCAAGAACGTCTGTCTTGATAGGGAATACTGTCCACCAAACCTCGATTCATTGAACAAAATGGATAAAGTTTCAATGATACCAGAGCTTATAAGTTCAAAACTGGAAATGGTATATGAATCTTTCATTATGGCATCCCTGAAATTCGTCCACGTGTTTATCCACTCCTCCCTGGTGTAATCATTGCAAGCACGTAAGTCGTTCAAATTGCCATTTATATCATCCAATAGTCTTAAATGCTCCAATTTCGTACCACCACAAACTTTCCTCTTCAAGTATGTTTGTTCCATGGCTGCAGCTCTCTTACTTAATATACGAATTAAAGATGATATATTGAACTCTCTTATCGTTGGAACATTCGCGTTTCTCTGTACTTCAAGGGATCTTGGGTCCCTCAATTGAGAATATACATCAGAGAGCTCATCTTCATCGCTCATGAATTCATCTTGTTCGTAGTCGTATTGATCTTCTTCATGATGTGGTTCTTCAATATCATTACCATCTTCATCGCTGTCATCATGAGACTCGAATCTTTCATCATCCTCTTGTGCCATTTCTGCTTTTACATCAACAAGATGCCTCTCTTCACTTCTTAAAATTTCCAACAGATTTGAAGTGTCAGCTAAGAGACCTTCTCTCTCAAACTCCGTGATGAAATGATCGGGATCTTTAGTCATAAGACCATTCGCCAAAGTTAATGCAGCGTATAAGATGTGGTATGGACTCATATTTAGCTTTTCTGTCCGTATGGCGCTCTTATTCTGGATGACAATTGAACCCAACAAATTGATAACAAGTGAAGAGTCTTTCAAATCCTTCAAGTCTTCAAAAGAAGCAACAATACGTATGAGACATACCAAAGCATATAATCTAATCTCGAATACCACAGTTGCAGAATATATATTCACCAATAACGGAAAGATTTGATTTGCAAACTTCTTATACTGGGTCATTGCTGATGAATAATCCTTTGGATGTTTTTCATTTGGGGTCAATGCAGGTTTAGGGTCACAAGGTAGGAGATAAACAATGAGATATAAGATCGAGAGCGATAAATCCTTCGGTATAGACATTAAAGTTTCAACTGTAACCCCTTCAGATTCAACTCTGGAACCTTTTTGAAACCTAGTCAAGATCGCAACGATTGCATCGGCAACTTTATCAGTCTTAATAATTTCCACCGCCAAGTTATTGTTCTGCGCACAAGTACTCAGAGTGTTAATCAATCCCAACACCGTTGACAACGTAGTATCTGGGCTTGAAACAACCCTTAAGATTTTATTCAAGAGTTCCGAAGTTACAATCTTTTCTAAACTTTGAGATGTGCGAAAGTTCTTAACGATGAGGGAAATGGCAGACCAAGCATTTTCCAATTCCTGTGGATCAGTGAATTCAATCACAATACGTTGTAATGTTGGGAATATCTCCTCCACTGTTGACAAATGAGCCTGTGAAACGTTTTTCACAGAGTTTGCAACTATACGGGTGGCTTTCCTTTGTGCATGAATCGTAAAGAAATCCAAGTACATCAAAACTCCACCAAGACAACCTGCTGATAGTAGTGCATACCCGTGAAATCTTGATATGAACTCCAAAGTTTGCAACGCCTGTTCAGCTAAATCAATAGAGCTTATCTCCATCAACTTGGCCTTCAAGGTACCAATTACACCACAGTCGATGGCACCGCGACAATATGTCGGTTCAATCTCCAGCAAGTTATAGAGACAACGGCATGCAACAAGCTGTAGCTCCATATGTTCCTGCCAACGAGGTTCGTTCATGACACCAACCAACGCCTTTGACAACTGGTAATGCGGTAACCCACGCTCTGCATCGAATCCGTTCATCATTAACAACCGTTCACTCAGCTCGTTGATGGATTCCTGTACGAAATATGGATCCTCTCTTTCGTTCATGACCTTTATATAAGAATCCCATCTAGAATCACGGCGCTGTCCACCAAACATCAGGGAACCCGGTAGCATTCTGCTAACGTTCTCCAGTACAGACTCTGCGGTGGCTCCATTTCTTCTAGCATTGGCAAGTTGACGGAAGGCATCCAGCAGTGGATTCTCATCCTCATAACTGCTATTCGCTTCGTCATCGTTATCGTCATCATCACTGTCGTTGTCATTATCATAATCATTGTTGTCTTCATCCCCGTCTTCATTGTGTCCTTCGTGTGCAGAAATATCCTGATCTTGGTCCTCGTTATCATCCGCTTCCCGCTCATCTAAGAATCCCGAGTCCACGTTACTATCTTCGCCCTCCCACATGGCGCTGTGAATAGATTGCATTCCGCTGTCGCCCTTATCACCAAAGTCGCTCTGTGAACGTTTATTCTCAGACATCTTTCTATACCTTTCAGCCATCCGACGCAGACTAACGTCCTCGTCTTCATAGTCCAACTCTTCATCGGAATGCATAACCGTGTCCTCTTCTTTCCCGCTCATTGTATCCACTTATATATCAGATTATAAGACAAGGGAGCAAATGTGAAAACAACAACAACAACGTGGCGCCCACCCTTCTGTGTCTGATTCCGTCTGGGCGGCTAAATATAAACAAACGTGTACAACTAACACTCCACAACCGTCTGTTCCCTTTCTGGGTCTAATGCGTGTCCTCTCTCTCTCCCTCTAAATGATTGAGATCAACAAAATAAGCAAGTATAGATAACTTTAACAGTAAGCGCCCTATGTAAACCACACGTTTGATAGCTTTGCTCTGTTCAAGAACGAGAGGAAAGTTGGCTTCTTCTTTTGTAATTTTGATTTTTGAAGTAAGCAGCTTTGTGGCGATTTTCAATGGGGCGGCGGGATTGTTTTCTCGTGCTAGGCGTTTTCGCGAAAGGCCGCTGTGGTTATGAACGTTTGATCTCATCGATGCTCAGAGCATAAAAGACTTGAAAATTTTTTGTGCTTTGCAAACTTTGGCTAGAGAGAGCGGTTTCCTTTGAAGTTGAATTCGTTGAATATATCTTAGAAGAAGAGATGCCTAGATCCAAACGTTCAAAGCTTGTTACACTAGCACAGACTGACAAGAAGGGAAGAGAGAACAAAGAGCGTATCTTTGATGAGGTTAGGGAAGCGCTCGACACCTACAGATACTGCTGGATGTTCTACCTCGATGACGTTAGAACGCCAGTGTTGCAGGAGATCAGAACCGATTGGAACGGGTCCAAGTTGATCCTTGGTAAACGTCGTGTTCTTGAGAAGTCGTTGGGTGATACTGTGGAACAGGAGTACAAGGAGAACCTGCACAAATTTGCCAAATTTGCACATGGTGTTACCGGTCTCTTATTCACCAATGAGGAGGTGAGCACTGTGGAGGAATACTTCAAAGCGTACAAGAAGGCTGATTTCTCAAGGGCCAAGCAGAGATCGCCAATTGACTTCACCATCCCCGAGGGAATCATCTATTCAACGGGTGGACGTCTTCCAGAGGAAGATGACGTTCCTATGTCACACTCTTTAGAAGAAACCATGAGAAATAAGTTCAAGATTCCAACCAAGATTAAAGCCGGTAAGATCACGATTGCCGAGCCTTATCATGTTGTTGATAAGGGCGAAGTATTGGATGTTAGAAAGGCGCTTATCTTGAAACAGTTTGGTATCGCAGCATCTGAATTCAAAGTGAAGGTAAAGGCATATTACGATGGTGAAACCTCAGAGATCCATGAGGTAAATTTGAACATTGATGAAGAGTGAGGCCTCGAGCAATTGCTCCCTCTCCCGTCTCCCATCACTGGCGAACAATGAAAAAGTTGGCATTTAATGTTGTTGTACAATAGGAATAGATATGGTTTTTATTTTGGTTTTCAAGGTTACAATTAGTCACTATGTCCACAGGGATATCAAACGTGATACCTCTGGGCGTATAGCTTCCTCCTCTGCTATTCGTATAGGAACACCAAGTTTGTCTAGCCTACTGAGTACCAGCTCCAGCAACCGCGTATCATCGCCGCATGCCGATATCAACCTCCACAGATTGAGCGACCCTGGACACGGTCTCACCCGATACATGGCCAATAGTGCCAATAGCTGTCTAATACAAGTTACATGGACAATCTTTACACGCGTTGAAGCGCTGAGATAACCAATGGTGGACCTGTGTTCATCTGGCGGCACCTCTAACTGCGTCGGCACCTCCAAGACTATGACTAGGCTTGTGCCATCTGGAGCTATCTCCTCAACAACGCTATCAATCAAGGACGGGAACGATGTATCGGCCACAACGACAACCATACCCGTGTACTCTGCCAATGGAAAGTAGAGAGTATTCATTAATGATACAGTACAGCCGTTATACTGCCCACTCAACAGCCGGGTAACCTTCTCCTAATGCTGCCTCTCAAAAAAAAAGCCTGTGCGGGCGGGCCCGCCCGCCGCCCACCAGCAACAACAAAACAAAACAAAACACACGCAGAAAACCGTTGAAAGGAACTTCCTCGGGCTAAGTGCGTGTCTCGCTGCCTTTTTCCTTTGTCTCACTCACCGCTTGGTTTAAACATCTCGGCCCAAATTAACAAGCACATCGCCACCTCCAAGCGTGTTTTTCGTTCTGTTTTATCTCACAGTCGAACTGTCCATTGCGTGTGCGCGTGTGGATCCTCCTTCATTCATCAATTGCCCCGCCTACTTTGCTGTTTTAGCCAATAGCCGTTGCACTGGTTTGTGTTTCCCTTTTTTTGTTGTGCTAACGCGACTGTAAGCGAAAACCACAAAAGCTCTTTTTTTTCTCTCGTTGTGTGTGGGTTTTTTCCATCCTGTTCTTTTGTTCCTTTGTTTACGTTGAGACACAGCTGACAGCGGCCATTTCAATTCTCTCTTTACAGACAAAAGACGAAGGAGGCGAAGAGTGGAAACGCTGAAAGGCTTTGCAAACTATCTGGGATTGTGTCATTGAGACAGACAGACAGACAGACAGAGAGCGTGTGTGTGTGTTTGACCATGGATAAGGAAGAATCGTTTCATAGCGTTTTAAGCTTACAAGAGGCATCGGACGTGGAGCCGCTCAAGACGGAAGAGTCTGAGGTGTTGGAACACGAAAGGGATGAGCCGGTTGTGAATCAAGAGGATGTGCCTAATTCACCGGGTATGTTACCGCGCTTGCCAGGTACTCTTAACGTGAAGGCGCTGAGCAATTCTGTGGAATCTGAAGACGAAGTAGAAGGGCCGCAAAGTGCCATGGCTGCTATAACTGATACTGTCAACACGGCGGGTGAAGGTGTGCTGGGTGCTGATGAGACCGCATTGGCTGCCGATGAGGCGAATGACGACAATGATGTTACTATACAACGGGCGTTGGCTGTGGATGGTGCTGGTGTGAGGACAGCTGATGACGAGGTGGAAGACATCACCCTTGATCCCGGGAAACATGAGGATACACGCGTCAATGAATTGGTGAACTCGTTGGATGAACCTATTGATTTCAAACGCGTGTCGTCAATGACCTCAGATAGTAGCCATTCCATAGAGTCCTTCACTTCATCACAATCCCACGTACAAACTGGGAGAGACTCAAGTGAAAGTGGGGTCCAGGATGTGGAACTCGAGGATGTTATCGATGGCATTGCTCAGGTTAATTCTGTGAATGTTGCTACTTCGACTACTGTTTCGCATTCTCCAAAAGTTGTCGTTTCACAGGTACACTCTCCAAAAGTCGCAATGTCAAACTCTTCAAAGGAACTTTTAACAGGCGGCGAAATTCTACGCGACGTGTCCAATGGCGTACCCGAGGGGCCAACTGATGAAACCGACGCGTCTCAACGTGTGCTGAAAGAGCCTGTTTTGATCCAAGCTAAGTCCAACAATCAGGAAGATCAAGTACTTGAAAATGATGACACTGAAGCTACATTTGCAGAGAAATTGATTGGCACCCAACTACAATCAGAGGACCCACAGGGTAAAGAGATCAAAACGACACCTGATGATATTGTCGCTCAAGATGTGTTACCTAATGAGAGCGTATCAAATGCACATGTCTCTGGTTCTTCCTATATAACGAGTTCTAACTTTGAGACAAAAATAATCGACGATTTTGTTGGGAGCTCGCAATCAAGCGCAAAGGATGAGTTGGATCATTTGGAAAGACCTATTGCAACGTCGTCAAATATAAATATACCAAGTTTATCCTCATCATTATCAGATAACATTGGGAACATGACAATAAGAGAAGGGGTGCAAGAGGACACGTTTGAAGTTTCCAACACGTCTGGTTCTTCCTCGGGGTTGAACGGTTCAGGTACCGCATACAACAACACAACGGCCATAACGTCATCGTCAACACCAAAGAACGTCAGCAGTATAAACTCCACAGACTCATCAATGATCCCCAAAACAGAGACTCCGAAGGTACCTACACGTTATTCGAATCCAAGTGTTAGTTCTACATCATTATCGCAATCCACATTGCCTAAGGGATCCACGGGTGGGAGACGAACTGTGAGCTCACCATTTGGAAACAAATCGAAAAGATCAAGTGGAAATAAAATGAAGGGTGTATTTTCAAATATCATGAACAGTATGAGAAGTTCAAATTCACATGAAAGTAAACACCTCAGTTCCCCGTCGTTGAAAATTTCTAGTCCATATGATGCTAAACACGTTCATCACGTTGGTGTTGATGAAGATGGTCAATACACAGGTCTTCCAGAAGAGTGGCAAAAATTGTTAACCTCGAGTGGTATCACTAAGCAAGAACAACAGAAAAATCCTCAAGCAGTTATGGACATTGTGGCCTTCTACCAGGATCAAACTAAGAATGCAGATGAAAAGGTGTTTAGAAAATTCAACCAAAATAACACCCATTTGGTGTCAACAGCATCTTTCAGAACACCAAAGACTACACAAAGTCAATTCACTACCCCTCAAGACCAGCAGTTGCCACAGTTCCCTATATCAACACCGCGTTATACACAACCGCCAACGCCTATCTTAGATACAGATAAGGAAAAGACTTTTATTCCTTCGAGACCTGCTCCAAAACCACCGGGGTCTGCTGCTGCGTCGCCACACGTTGTTTCACCATTGTTAAGATCACAATCACAGAAGAGCACCAAGAGTACACCAGTGATAAGGCCTCTAGGTACGTTCTCACCTCAAAGAACAGCTCCACAAGTCCCAAAGATCCCACCACCTGTGCCAGCGCATGTCCAAACACCAAAAGCCGAACCACCTACTTCATTGGTTACCAAAGACTTGCCAGAGCAATCGGCTACTACTGGTGAGACAAACGACCCTGAACCTCCAGTTCCTGTGGCAAAAAATAGTCAAAAACCCGTTCGTGATCCAGAACAAGCTGCAATTGCTGCAGAAAGGAAAAAAGAAGAGAAGAAGAAGCGCAATGCACTGGTTTATGCTAAATTGGCAACCATTTGTTCTGAAGGTGACCCTTCTAAGATCTACAGAAATCTGTTTAAGATTGGACAAGGTGCCTCTGGTGGTGTTTATACTGCGTATGAAGTTGGATCGAACAAATGTGTAGCCATTAAACAAATGAACTTGGAGCAACAACCAAAGAAGGAACTCATCATCAATGAAATTCTGGTGATGAAAGGTTCCAAACATAAGAACATTGTGAACTTTATTGACTCTTATCTTTTGAAAGGTGACCTTTGGGTTATAATGGAATACATGGAAGGTGGCTCCTTAACTGATGTTGTTACACATAGCATCATGACTGAAGGTCAAATCGGTGCGGTTTGCCGTGAAACGTTACAAGGTCTGGAATTTTTGCATTCCAAGGGTGTTATCCACAGGGACATCAAATCTGATAACATTTTGCTCTCAATGGCTGGAGATATCAAACTGACAGACTTTGGATTCTGTGCTCAGATTAACGACGTGAATTTGAAACGTACCACGATGGTTGGTACTCCATACTGGATGGCTCCTGAAGTTGTTAGTAGAAAACAATACGGGCCAAAGGTTGACATATGGTCGTTGGGTATCATGATCATTGAAATGATTGAAGGAGAACCCCCATACTTGAACGAAGCACCGCTGAGAGCACTCTACTTGATTGCAACAAATGGTACTCCAGAGTTGAAAGAACCAGAGATGCTCACAGATACATTGAAACACTTTTTATCCTGGACACTTCAGGTTGATCCTGAAATGCGTGCTGATGCCACTGAATTGTTACATGATCCTTTCATCGTTGGTGCTGATGACGTTTCTTCGTTAGCTCCACTGGTGAAGCTAGCAAGAATGAAGAAACTCGCTGAAAAGTCTGACGATGAGTGAAGATAGACTGAGCAGTGGTTATATTTCCTTTCTTGTTCTGTAATCGGTATTACTATGGTTATTATATATGCATGAAACGTGTATTTTTGTTTGATGTTTTCTTCTACGATGCCTTTCTCTGTTGTAGCTGATGATGGTATTTCACAATGTGCCTCAACATCCCAACACCACGCCAAAAAAGTCTGTAGAGATGTAAACAAATCACCAATAAATTAATAGACAAACCTCATATTGACGGCAACATCTACTGAAAACCTCTGAAATGACAGATCTATTGCCACTACCACCAAAGGAAGTAGTATCATCAATTCCGCAATTCCAATTCTTACAGGATTCACTAGCAAAATCCGGTGTGACATCGTTCGAAGTTATCGTCTTCACCTTCCCAAAAGGCCAACTTGTGAATGGATGGTATCAACAAGGAAAGGACAGAGTGAGCGCCATTTCGTTAGAAAGGGCATCTACAGTGGCTAAAAGTTGTGTTGATATGCTCAATTCGGCAATGATGCTATCACAGGAGGCTGAATTGTTGAGAGTGCGCTTTCGGTCATCTGAATTACTGGTGATTCCAAGTAGTGACGAACTAGTCATTGCCGCCATGACAAGTTCGAAATCATCTCACCAGTCATAATTGGTGTATTGGAACAAAGTTAAAGGCTGAATCTCTAGCTTTCTCTCTCCAATAAGCAGTTTGGAGAGCTCTTCAATGTTCTCAATTATCCACGGCATCTTGGGGAACCATGTAAGAGAAGCCGATGAGTTCATGTTTGCAGCAAAATCTAGATAATCAACGATTAGTTGGGGTCTTATGTTTCTCCTGATCGAACATGTGACTATAAGCTTGATCACTGTGACTTTCAGCTCGCATAGAAAGTTGAACTTTTGATTTAGTTTCATCAACGCTGAGTATCGGTTCATCTCAAACTCTCTGATTGATGCTTGTGATTTGTACCTGTTACACCAAAGATGCCAAAGTTGTGCACAACTCATCCTTAAAGGTACCTTGTCATATTGAAAAACATCGTATGGCTGGACTACTCTATCGGTATCGTCCATATCAATGACTAACGGCCTTGCTATAACGGCGCCAAGGTCCGGAAGATATATGCCATTTTGAGGATACTTTGGAAGCCTATGCTCCATTATCAACCTTTTCAAGAGTTGTCCAAAGTAGTATGAAAACTGTTCATAGGTCACATAGTTGCACTTCGACCTCCACGCCATGATATTCCTGCACGTCACCTTCTTTATGGGGAAACTCAACTTTCTATACTCATCCTTCCATTGTTGATAGAGATGGCTTCTCCAAAAGTTCGAAGTATTTGCTCTCGAATGCTCAAATGCATCAGCGCAAACTTTTAAAGTATGAAGGTCCACGTATCTCAAAGTGTCTCGGTTACTATCGTACACAACTTGGTAAGGTGAGGTTTGTTTAGCCATCGCACCTTGGACATATTCAAACTTTGCATTTTCCAACAAATGTGTGTCTTGGTCCTCATATACACTACGTGTCTGTCTCTCGTTGCGTTCACCTTGATAACCAGCAGTGTACAATACACTGCGACTCTTTGGTCTCGTTATTTGATGGTGTCTCCAGTCAATATCTTCCACTAAGTCATTGCATCTGGTAAACTTCCACGGATCTTTCAACATCAACTGGCTCGTTTTCCCTATAGCTTCGTTCTGAAGTCTCTCTGCTACCCAACAGGTGTTGTATGTGGACTTTTTCACAGGAACTATCTTAAATTTTATGACTGCCATCTATACAAAGCTATTTGAAAAGCAAGATTCGTCGGTCTCTATTGAACGTGTATTACAGGTTGATTTGTGTGTTGTATACTCAAAGCTCGAGTCTTTTCAGAATTCTGTTGATCGTATAAGATGACACAAAACCTGTTGTGGTAAAGCTTTACAGAAATGACGCTGAAATCATGAGAGCTTTTGAAGCAAATGGTGAAATAGTTGATCCATTGGATACTGTTCGAATTCAGAATAGTCATCTTCAGCGAAGAGACGGTTCATCACAACCTGAAGTCGAGGCACCAACCATGTCAACTCTTTGTTCCCGTTGAACTGCAAGAACATGTCTAAATAATCCACCATCTTCCTGGTGCTGATGCCTCGTTTTGACTCTGCGAATATGATGAACCGGATGATAAGGGCTCTATGAGGGCATTGGAATTTGAACGGGATTTTCGATGCAAATGAATGGTTTGCCTTGTAGATTTTGTACCGGGCATACTCATAATCTGCTATTGAATGTCCTGCTGCAGTCCATTCAAACCAGAGCTTCAAAACACTTCCTGTCATTGGGGATTCATGGTATCTTGCAATCTCCTGGATTTCACAGTACGGTTTGTCGTATGGTCTATTAGTATCTATACCACCTAGCAATGGAAAGTTGTACAATTTGTCGGAGAATTTTTCAACCTGAACCCCTAAAGCTCGGAGTATATCACACAACTTATACGGGTAGAATTGTCCCATTCTGAGGTCTGGATAACAAATTTGCAAGTGGTTGATATTTGCGGTGAAACGAACCATGAATTCCACTGAAAACATCTTAATAACCTCATACGCCTTGTTTCCAGGCCCAACCCAGCTTCTGAGCTGGAAGAGAGGGTGCATACTTGCAGTCTTATACGCCAAATCGATGTAAACCCTGAGTAAGTATACATCAGTGTCGGACAATGTACCGGTGAACAACCTCTCTGGTGGTTCTTCGAAGGCGAAGCAATACAAGATATCATTGCCTGAAACCTTAGTCTCGCATTCGTGATGTGGCTCCTTGGGGATAACCTTTCTCCTGAAGCAGAGAGGATATACGAATGTTGGCCTAGAGCACTGATGCAGCTCCGTATCATTGCTGATACAAGCACAAGTCCTTGACGTCTGGTCATTGGAACTTCGAACTCTCATATCACATGGGTTTATCACCCCAGATTTCTTCAATCCATCACTCCATGGATCAACAGGGAACACATCACAGCCAATCCGTGGCTTATATCCCATAGTGTCATTTATAATCAGCTTGCCAACCCAATTCGGGTCAAACAGTGGGATCAGTGGTGATCTCAATATCACAAAATGTGCCCATCTCTGATAATGCTGAGGAATCGCTAGCGAATTATTCATCTTTTACGCTTGAAATAGAGCCAATTGTTGCAATATTACGTAGCTACCTTCTCGTAGACCTCAGCAGACGTGATCTGAGTGGAATGAAATCGTCGGATTCCTGTTTAACCTCCATAAATTGACACAAACTTGTTCAACATTGTACATTCTATGTGCTTTGGTTACTCTGGTTACCCAGTCTACGTGCCCCTACGGGAGTGACAGAGTTGGTCATGCTCACATCCGTACACCACTGTTTTGATTTCCACTATTTGTCACTAGCAGAATAAACAAAACCCACAATTAAAACTGATAACAGTTCCACCTTCTTCTTCACGGCTCGATCTTGGAAAGATGGTTGATCTGACGGTTAATCTCAAGCCTTCTAACAAACCATTGGTTCAAGGATGTCCGGGAGTTCCTAAAACATACGTAAGTCACAGGCTCCTGCTCGTACTTTCCCATGTTATGCCTTACATTCACTAACCACCTCGCCTCATTTGAGACAGCCCACAATCATCGGTACTTTGGAGATCAGAACCGCAAGTGGTATTCCAGAGCCTGTGTCTACGGTTCAGATAAGCTTCGTTACTGTCGACACGCTAAAGTCCAAAGTACGTGATGTTCCGAGTTCTCTACGGAAGGTCAACTATGAAATGACAATACACGTTAACGACCGTATCATTTCGATGGACATCCCGTTCATCATCGGTATTAAGAATGAGATACCGCCAACTTCTGAAGGTGAACGTGGCGTCACAAGGAATAAGCTGGAAGTTGCAGTTCATTCTGGGAAATCACTTCTGCAGTTTGAATTCCCAGTGGTCATCACTACTTATGATACGTTGCCTCTTTATAGGCAGTTCAACGAACCAATATCAAAAGTCATTGATAGTAAAGATACTCACGTTATGATTGAATACTCCCTTCCTACAAGTGCGATTGGTCCTGGCGAAGAGCTAGTTTTAAACTGTAAAACTGTTGTGAATCCACGATATCCACAATTGACAGACAAGGTGAAGCTGAAGAAAGTTGGTTTACAAATCGTGGAAATTTTTGACTGTCGCTGTGATAAGGCATTCATAAAGGAATCTATTATATCACAAATGGCAAAGGACTTCCATGGACAAAACGTTGGCATGCGTGGTATCGCTGAGAGCTTGAAGATTAGACTGCCAGATGCGCATGATAGGTACAAGTTATTCTTGAAACAACAGGACAAGAGATTACTGCTAAATGATTCTGGGGTTCAAGGATCACGGAACGATCTCAAGCCTCTGATTATTGAACATCAAGATGACCCTATACCATATACACACCATCAACCAATGACAAAACGATCTGTGCTGTTCAGCACGTATTATGAACTCAGAGTCTGTTTCAAGTTTTCGAACGCTAAGGATGTTAGCTTCGTTCTACCTATCACAGTTGCACCATTTGATAGGAGTAAGAGCATATACTTGTTGAAATGGATCCTTAAAGAGAGTGAACTTGCAGAAAGTTTCCTAAAGAAGATCGAATCTGAAGTTGGAAAGATCAACTACAATAGTCGATATGATTCCTTGGTTTATCCACAGAGGAAACCAATAAAGATGGTGTCCAAAGATGATAAACAAAGGTTTGTATAATGATCGGTATCTCTCTTACTATCAGTTTCGTGTTACTTTCATAGCTCGCTTATGACCTTCGCTGCCCCCAAATGAGAAAACATGATATACGTGAACCCCATGTATACATGTCTTGCTGGATAAAAATGAACGTACTTTCCCCCGGTTTTGTCATCTTTATCCGGCTTACCAAACTGTCCAGATTGTATGTTAGAGACAAATTGAGGGAGATCTGAAGTTACAGATCTCATTACATTGTCAATAACTACCTGAACAGTATGGTTGGAGTACTGGGAATCTACTACTAAAATGGTGAACCAGTCCTGGTGGATACCGTACAACTGCATCTGTACGTAATCCCTCCAAGTGGCTCAAGTTACTATACCGGTACTATCTAACTATCTAACAGCAACTGTTAGATGGAATTCATCACTCTCCACTATTCGAGACTTCGTGTTCATAATTCCTATCAGTTTTGCTGTGAAACAGCAATGCCATTTGTATTGACTTCAAGTGAATCCAGTCAGTGGTATTCCAAAGGAAGTTGGTCAAGCTTCCGTTGGTCTGCCCTTCTTCAAACGTTATCTCATCGTGCCGACAACTCTCTAAGCATGTTATCATATCCGACGGTGGTTGTATTCGCAGTATAGCAGCAATGATCTGGATGCAACGGCAAAAGGTGAGAGCCAAAACAACTTCAAACTTCTGTCCAAGTTATCAGCTGTCAGAGTCTCAACACACTGGCCGGTTGCTCCTCAGTGGCTGTACCGACATCAAATGAATCCAGACAGTGGTATTCCAAAGGAAGTTGGACAAGCTTCCGTTGGTCTGTCCTTCTTCATCATATATGCAAATATATCCCATGTCTTAGGTCATGTGCCTCAAGAGATCTGAAGGTGAGCATGTGGAAAGGGCTGGTCAGACCCCAACCAAACCTCGTTACCTGTCAGGAAAGACAGTACTCATCTCGATGTCTCTCCACTCCTTTCAGCTTGGGAAAATTGTTGGAAGAAAGGACTTGGAAGGAAAACCAATTTCACAGGATATTGGTCTGTTTAAATATTCCAGACTGTGAGTTTGTGGTTATTCCTATTTGGTTGTGTTTATCTTACGGTTAACTGAAGGTTTGTGTCAAACACAACCGATTACACAAATGCCTATACGCAAAAATGTACTCAGTGTACAGTTGTCCACTGTTATGAAGTATCTCTGATTGTGTAAAGAGAGACATACCTCCCCACGTCATGGGGCATTGTCTCATTGCACAGTACTATGTATGGTACAATTGATGTGATCCATGTTGTGACACTCGAGCATCAACGAACAGAACTTACACAGCTTATCAGTTACAGCTCCAATTAACCTCTCCTGTTTATTTTGAAGTCAGCACCATCTATCAAAAACACTCCTGTAGTGCTATGCTACTGGAATGTTGCTCAAAATAAAGACTGGAACGAAAACTCTCTCGCTAATTCTTGAAAGAGTATACTGATTTGTAAGATCTTATGTAATGTGGTGTCCAGGTGTTTGGTGTGCGGGTGTTTATGTAAGGCATAAGTAAAGACGCTTCACTTAGACAGAACTATAACAGCTTGCCATAACAAATGCGAATCCTCATTGATAATCCTTTGAGCCATGTCTTCGTCTATGCCTTCAGCATATGCCCCAGTGTCTATGTCTGGTCCAAAGCAACTCTCGGACCATCTAAATGTTGAGGTCACACCGTACACCAATGCCACTGAAAGGGAAACGATGGAGTCGCTTGGTGAGCTCTACTCCATCATCACAGTGCTGGACATTGTTGAAAAGTCCTATGTTAAGGACACTTTGGATGAGGCTGAGTACACGCCACTTGTGCTTAGGCTGTTGGCTCAGTATAACACTCTCCTAAAGAATGAACTGGTCCAAAGGGAGTTTGGTTCATTGGCACAATTCAAACAAAAGTATGGGTTAAACGCACCACAGGCAACTTCAAGGATTGAGATTGGAGTCCCAGCAACCGTTGAGCATGCTATAAGTGTATCGAATACTGGTTCTTCTAGTACAGCCACGACGACGAATACCCGTGCGGTGGCAGAAGCCACTGGAAATTTCATCACGATGATGGATGCACTCAAGTTGAACTATAAGGCAAAAGATCAATTACATCCGTTATTGAGCGATTTAATGACAAGCGTAAACAAAGTGAGCTCGAAGGACTTTGAGAGTAGAGGCAAGCTGATTGAGTGGCTCATCAAGATCAACAAAATGAACATCTACGACGAACTATCAGAGGATGACACCAGGCAATTGCTGTTTGACCTCGATAACGCATACAAAGGGTTCTACACGATGTTAGAATGAAGAGTGTTTATATCTCTAGACTTAAATGATGGAGTCGATCTCCTTAGCGTAGTTAAGTGTGTTCTTGACAAGTCTTTCGCTCGGTGTAATGTTTTCATCCTCCTCATCTTCTTCATTGTTGTCTTGGAAGAGAGAAGATGACGCTTGTAGCTTTTCAAATTGCAATACACCACGTTCTACATCCCAGCCCTGTTCGCCTGCCCATGATTCAACCTCCTTTTCAGAGTTTAGAAACAGTAGATACTTTGCATTGGAGAGAGGTAGTGAGGTATAACTCTTCTCCATGGATCTTGAGATTTCAAACCTGATGGTCTCTAAGAGCGTATTGTTGAACACGTTGAACTCCTTCAGCTTCAGCTTCTCCTCCGACTCCGTGTTCTTGATGGACTCAATGGCCTTATCGTAGTACCCCTCCAATACCCAGTTCTCAATCTTTATAGGATAGTTCAAGTACAGATCTGAGTCAATATTCTTTATGTGACCTTGGAGGAACTCCAACTCGCTGTGGAACTTCACAACGTCGCCCTTGGACAAGAGACGTAGCAAGTAAAGAGCCAAGATCTTGTTCTTCTTGCCACTCTTCGATAGCTGGTGATGATTCACCTGGTTGAAGTAGAAACTCCACAATTGTAACACCAAGTGCTCAAACTTATCCAGCTCATCACAGTTGATCGCACTGAGGGCTCCAATCTCAAGGATTGAGCGTGAAATCAGCAAATCACTCAGGTACTGAGAGTCTTCCAACTTGGAGAAGTTGGGAATCAACAACGAGTTTTCCAATAGCAGCACTTGGATCTTAGGCAATAGCTGAACAGCCTGTTGATACTCGTGCGAGTCAAATGACTCCTTAAGCTTGTGTGTCAAGTGTTCTAGGGACATTTCTCCGATGCTTTTGTCTGCTTTAACTGCTTGTTGATGTTGTTGTTGTTGTCCTTGTTGTTGATGCCTGTGGTGAAGTTGTCGCTGATTGCCACCAAAAGGACAAATAGGGCAATTTTCGCGATACATACCTCGGAAGTATTGCTTATGTAATCTTTCACCCTCGTATGTTCTTCTTCCCAATTGGGTAATTACTATAATCTACGCCGTAGAAACAATGTTCAGGTGTTTATGACCGTTTGTTTTGGTGGTGCATTGGAGGAAGTTTTGCAAAGTCAATGTGGTTTATCTCGATGGTTCCCTTACTTTGCTTACAATTTTGGGTTGGAAGGTGCCAATTGGTGCAAAGAATCACAGATGATATCATATTATTTATATTATATTATATTATATTATATAACCATTTGGTGTCCGGATGTTGAACTTTTACTTAGAAACTCTCATAGTTTAATGCATATATGGCTCTGTTTATACACAGTCTCGGCTTAAACAAGGGTTCTAGAGGCGGGTAAACAGGCACAATGAGCCAGAGGAAAGGTCTAAACGTCCCGCAGATATCAAGACAAAGTGCTCTCGACCGCATCTTCTCTGAGCTGGAGAGGTTTCTCGAGATCGACGAGAAGAGCGCATCATCGGCTCTACAGCAGTTGGCTGGGAAAGTGGATCCTCAGGCTGTTGAGCCAGTTGAAGCCGTTAGTGTTGTTACAGATGAGTGCTTCAAATACTTGGATCAGATTCAGCGGGCTTCGCTTGAGAAGCAAAAACAGCAGAGGGAATCTGGTGACCCTGAGAAGGTGAACCTCATCACGATATCGCTTCATGATATGAAGTTCTTCACAACGCTGATTAACGTTCTGATCGTACAATGTGTGTACCCACTGCTACCTAAAGGTGTTGGTATCCCATTAGAACAGAGAAGAATCAAATCTTTTGCCAAAAGGTTGAAACTGTTCCAGTTCTCGACTGTCCAGGGCGACCTTCATCCGTTAATGGAGCGGATTGTCAGTCGTTTCTCGAGTGTATTTGAGCTTGGCGGTGATGTTAAGGATTTATTGATTAAAGGAAGCGGACTGACAGATATCCTGACGCTGCTCATGGTTCTCATGGTCGAAGATGACCCTTCATGGATTGAGAAATTTGAAGTATTTGAATCAAAATGTGATGCGTACGACCTGTTTGGGATCTATACAGCATTGCTACAAACAACAAGAGTTGTTTCTTATCAACAGTTCATCTCCTCAAGGTTGAACTCTGTCACCATAAATAGACCAAATGGTGTATCCAGTCTCATTGACTTCATCGTTGGAATTCGAGAAGATGAGGAGATCAACGTTGAGAACTTTGGCCATGTGAACAAGATTCTAATGTCAAAACCAAGGGAAATTCCGTCAGTCGAATACTTTCAAAAGCTGTTCTCACAATTGTACAACATCCTGGTATACGTTAATAGGCCAGTGTTAGTGTCTGTTGTGGTAAATTTCATCAGAGTGCTATATTCCAAGAACAAGAGAATTGTACAGGATTTCTTGTTCAAGAGAATTTGGAGTACGTGGAACCCAACACCGGATAAGCAGCAAAGTGGCGTTCTGGTATCAGAGAAAGAGCTCAACGATTCCACCAATGTTCTGATTTCATTGTCGAAGGAATCGGAACCAGAATTCTTGAATGACTTGTTCTCACAACTCATACTGTCGCTCTGGTCCTACTACTTCTATTTGAAGAAGAATAAACTGGAATACTCATCTATCGTATCGAATATTCTGGTTTCCTTCTTCACAGTCACTTCAAATAATACGTTTTTGGAGAACATTGTGTTGAACCTCGTCAACTCTCATGGTGATGGATGGCATTTCCAAACAACGTTGGAGAACAAACTCACTTCAATAGTAAAGTCAAGCGTCTTAGATGATGAACTGACTAATTACCAAATATTGGAAGACATAGACACCGGATTGGACACTGTATGCGAATTGTTGAAGGATTTGGACAATGATATTGTACGTACTCAGTTCCTCGTTGTACTGAACAGATGGATCTTGAAACAGGGAAAGATGGGCACGTCTTTGGAAGAAGAAAACCCGTTCATTGCTCTCATTGATCTCAAATTCTTGGAAAGAGTCAATAAAGAGTTTAAAGAGTCGATAACTGAGTCTCCAAGTGATATATTGCAGGTTATCAAAAACTTGCTCTCCGTCAAGTTTGATACAGAAGCTGACTCCCAAGATGTGGATTCAGATGACGAGGACGAAGAAGATACTCAAACAAGTCACTTCACCGTTCTCCTCGAATTGTTATCTGCCATCATATCTGAAACACCACCACAAGCTCTTCTGAAAGATGAGGAAACATTGAAACAGATTTCACAGTTACTTACTCAGTACAATGCGGATAAATACTGTGCTGCACTCAAGCAGCGTATTGACGATTTCCTGACGGGAGATCATGAGGTTCAACAAGAGGATGAGTTAACTGCTGATAAGGAACTATTCAAGAAGGCTATCAACAACATGAATGATCCCCTGATTCCGATCAGAGCACATGGAATGTACTTGCTTAGACAACTGATCATGAAGAAGTCGAAAGTATTGTCTCTAGATTTTGTGCTTGAACTACACATTGTTCAGTTGCACGATAATGAACCGTTCATATACCTTAATGTGATCAAATCCTTGAACGAGCTTGTGGAATTCGACAAGGTAGGTACAGTTCAGTTCTTAGTGAAGACTTACCTCAACAAAGATGAAACTCTTGACGATAGGCTGAAGATTGGTGAGGTTTTGATGAATTTCATAGATCGTCAAGGTGAGCTGTTAACCACCGGTGAACTTGTTGATAGTGTGATCGGTGCTACATTGACTGTCATAAACAACTTTGATGAAGATGAAAAGTTGAGAATGTCTGCAATGTCTCTTCTCGGTGAGTCCTTGAGGGTGAATGCTCTGGGTTTGAATAAATTTGTGAAGGATGCACTGGACTGTGCCCTGGGTGTGTTGGAAATGGAGAAGACTGACACTATGAAGAGAGCTGCCGTGGTTTTGATTGCTGACCTCATCTCCTTTGGAGGACTGGACGTCGTTCCTCGAGGTTACGGTGCCAAACTTTGGAGGACATTGGAGTATGAGGATGCTAAGGCTACGGACTACTTACTGGTGGAGCAGATTCAAAAGGTCAAGTCAACAATTGACGAACTAAAGAAGGAGAAGTTTACCACTACAATGCCATCAACGTTCAACAAGTTAAGAATTTCAGATTGAATTGACGATTATATCTCCTCTTCAATAGCTTGTACCTGATCTAGCTTCTCCAAGTTTAACACAATGCGAGGTCTTCTAAACCATTTCAATGCCAAACTGCTCAGCACCACACTGATGGAACTCAACGCCATTGCAGCACTAGCCCAGACAGGCGATAATCGAGTGTTGTTGTGAGGATAGATCACACCAGCAGCTATAGGGATGCCTATGGCGTTGTAACAGATAGCCCACCCGAAGTTGAAATATACCCTATTGAAGACCTTTCTGCTCAGTTTCAGTAAGGTCAACAGGGTTATCAGAGGATGTGTCGGTGAGAGAAGAACAAAATCAGATGATGTTAGAGCCAAATCGGATCCAGAAGCCAGTGCAATACCAACATCTGCTGTCGATAATGCTGGAGCATCATTGATACCATCGCCCACCATCGCAACCACTGGTGGTGCACCATTGACCAGATTCGTCTGACGAATCCATTTGATCTTCTCAGCCTTCTCTTCTGGTAGCACCTCGGCAACGACATTATCAATTCCCAGTTCTTTTGCTATGGTATTTGCGGTGGTGCTATTATCACCAGATATCATCCATGTCTGAATACCACTTCTCTTCAGCTCTTGAATGACACTCTTAGCTTCTGGACGAATCTCATCACGACAAGCAAGTAACAATACTGGGATGAACTGCTGAGTGTGGAAGAAGTTTTCACATTGCAATGAGACAATGATGATACTCTTTCCTTGTAGCTTCCAATTGTTCAATACCATCTGTTGATGAGATGACAGGGATACTCTGTTTTCGATCATGAGGTTCTCATTACCCAGAAGTACGCCAGTTGGTCTGTACTGGATCCATTCATTGTCGTCACCATCGTCGAGAACAACTTCACCTCGAAGTCCCCTTCCTGCAATCTCAGTGATCTCTGGGACCTTCACTTTGCCCAATGCTATCCTTTGCTTCTCGCACAGGTCATCGATAAATGACTTGACAGCTTTAGCCAACGGATGGCTGGAGTTCACCTCCATATCTCTAGCAACTTGCAGTGCAAACCTCTTGATGGTCTTGTCTCCATGCACAGCAAAATTGGTGATCTTTGGATCACCACCAACCGTCAGTGTACCTGTTTTGTCAAAGCAGACAACGTTGATCTTTGAACCTTCTTGGAATGCCATACCACCTCCACGAGCTAAGATACCATTCTGTGCTGCCAATCCAGCACCAACGAAGAGAGCAGTTGGAGCAGCAAGGCCAATACCACATGGACATGCGATGACAAAGACAGCAATGGCAAACTCCAGAGACCATACAGCCCAGCCACCAATGTCGTTGTTCATATAACTCTTAGGAAGTGCTCCAGAGTAACCCAAGGAGATCCATATGATCCATGTCAGAATGGCTAGCAAGACGATCAGTGGAACAAAATAGCCAGTGAGAATATCAGCAACTCTTTCGATAGGTGCTCTGCGCATTTGACCGTCTCTGACTGTATTCACGATGTTATCCAACAAAGACGTTCCGTCCAGTGCACTCAGCTTAGCGATGATGGAGTTCGGTCCTTTGTTCACTGTGCCTGCAAAGACTTGTTCTCCAGCAGAGTGTAGCACAGGGTGGGATTCACCAGTGAGTGCACTCTCGTCGAACTGCGATTCACCTTGGACTATGATGCAATCTACAGGTGGAGACTCACCTGGAACAATGCGTATGAAATCACCAATCTCTAGCAGGTTGATTGCAACTTTCTCATCGTTGCCGAAAGCACCGTTTGCTTCTTTTGTTAAGAGTGTTGCTGTGCTTGGTTTCAGAGATCCCAGGTTGGTGATGGCCTCAGCAGTCTTACTCTTGGAATAAGACTCCAACAGACGGCCAATGAGAAGGAAGAACGAAAGAAATACAACAGAGTCAAAGTATGTGGATGTGAATCCGTGAGCATGGCCACTGGGGTTCACATGAGCACTCAAACCGAGTAGGATCAGGCTTGCAATGTAAGACACTGTTGTTCCCAGACACATCAACAAGTTCATACTGCCAAATCTGAATAGTCTTCTCTTCCATGGAACGTTATGTTTCCAAAGCGATCTTATCTCCTTGAAGGCCTTCACATGGAAGATATCAGCTGCAAAGAAGTACACTGGTGTTGCCAGAAAGAACAAGATCCATTCCATTCTGGCAACGTTTCCTGCCCAAATAGGCTCATCTAACCACTTTTTAAAGCTGTTATCCTTTGGAAGGAATGACATACCAACTATACCGAAAACAAAGGTTGGAATGGCAATTACAGTGGTGAGGAGCAAACGATAGGCAATCTTCAATGTTTCCTTCTTTGCTATACGTCTCAAGTGTTCATCGAGGCTCACTTCCTCTACAATCTCCACCTCAAAGTTCCTGTCTCTAATCTCTTGTAAGATCGATCTAATCGTCAATGCTGGAGGTGAAGGGATGTAGGTGAACTTCACCAGTGGATGCTGCAGTGTAACTGGGTCTTCAATGACAATGGCATCGCCATGGTTCTCGAGTAGCTCAGTGATGGCCTCTGGACAATGTTCACAGAACATTCCTTTGATCTTCAAGTTCACGGTTCTTGTAACCTTCTTCGTGCTGGCATGGTTAATCTTGGTGATTGATATGACTTCAAAGTCGAAGCCACAGTCTTCAACCGTGTCCTTCAACTGCTGGACTTTCTGCTCGTCGTTCGAGTCTAGGATGAATACTCCTGACTTAGAAACCACCGAAATGGCATGTTCCACTAAGAAATCCAGGTCAGCAACAGCATTAGAGATTGAAGAAGCACAAGCTGCACATGTTATGCCACCAATTGCTGCGCTTATTCGATACCGGGTTTCTCTTTCAACAGGAAGCACTTCAACAAGGATTGCTGAGTATCCCGAGTCCTTTATAGCCTGGATGATCGAGTTGGCTACTTGTTTATTGGGGATGATTGCAACTGCAGTATGGTTGATAGCATCAACAGAGCAACTTTGAGCAGCCTTGTCACTGTGGTATTTCGATAGGACTTCCTCAATGGCATTGGTCACTGTGGTGGCACAAGCTGAGCAAGTCATCCCAGACACCGTGAAGACTGCTCTGTATTCGAGCTGTTCACTAACCACCTGTGTCACCTGCGAATCCTCGTCAGACTTTGGCTCTTCACGGCACTGTAAGCAGTGTTCTCTGTGGTGTCTTAATCTCCTTTTCCTGCTGAAGAAGGTCCAAGGTAGGAATGGCCAGGTGTTGTAAGTATGGTGGAGCAGAGGAACGTCAGACCCAATATCATGGATTTCGTAATCCTTCACCAAGAAGCCAACGTCCTCTATTCTCTCAATGGCTGGCTTATAGAGCCTCGTCAGCGTGGTGTCGTCCTCACAGGTCACAGAGACCAGCTCGTCATTGGATATATGGATCTTGATTATGTCCCGTACTTGCTCAAAGACCTCATTCAACGACGACGTGATGGTCTGTTCACAGTCTTCGCAATGGATGTTTGATATGTTTATCGTCAGCAACTGCATTATCTACAACCAACGTCTACAGTTGACCCTTCAGATCTGGCATGCCACAGTCAGCTGGGGCCAGTTCCTGTTTATATACACAGCCTGTTGAGTAGTTTTAGCTGACGATTGATCATCGATGCAGCATAAAGGTCTCATCTCGTCATGACAGGCGTCCATCACTCAATTGAGGCGCGGTGAGAGGCAGAGCACAATGAGTCCCACGATCTGAGGCTGCTCCGGGCATTTCCAAGTGGTGCCAGGCGTTCTCAATAGGCCAACGGGCCTGATTTAAGGCATAGATGTCTCTATATGATAAATACTATGAGATGCATCTCCGATTCCGAAAGCGGATATTTTCCTAATGTGGACATTTGTCTACATTTGCTTATGTAATCGGTGTATCACGTGACTTGCTTATGTAATCATTGCAATTTTCGGTATTTTTTTGCTTTGTCCATCGCTGAAAAATTCCTCCGTCAACAAACCAAAAACCAGCAAGAGTTTGCAGTGGAACAACAAGTTTGAACTGAACAAGGAGAACGGTGTCAAGATGAGTACTTCAAGCTGCAGATTCTACGAGAACAAGTATCCTGAAGTTGACGATGTTGTGATGGTCAACGTGCAACAGATCGCCGAGATGGGTGCTTATGTCAAGCTTCTCGAGTACGACAACATCGAAGGTATGGTTTTGCTCTCCGAGTTGTCCAGAAGACGTATTAGATCCATCCAAAAGCTGATCAGAGTTGGAAAGAACGAGGTTGTTGTTGTGCTGAGAGTTGATAAGGAGAAGGGTTATATCGATCTGTCCAAGCGTCGTGTCAGTTCTGAAGACGTTCAGAAATGTGAAGAGAAATATACGAAATCTAAGGCTGCCCACTCTGTGTTGAGACACTGTGCTGAGAAATTCGGCTTGCCACTGGAAACCCTCTACCAAACAATCGGATGGCCATTGAGTAAGAAGTATGGCCATGCCTACGATGCCTTCAAGATCTCCATCACAGACGACTCCGTCTGGGACGGCATCGTCCCACCTTCGAAGGAGGTGTTGGACGAGCTCAAGTCCTACATCGCACGCCGTCTGACTCCACAACCCACAAAGATCCGTGCCGATGTGGAGGTATCATGCTTTGGCTATGAGGGTATAGATGCAATCAAGGAGGCCCTCAGGGCTGCAGAGGCCCTGAGCACCGAGCAGATGCAGGTCAAGGTGAAGCTGGTTGCTGCCCCATTGTACGTCATCTCTACACAGGCTTTGAACAAGCAACAAGGTATCGATCTTTTGACAAAGGCATTGGAGGTCATCGAGGAGAAGATCACCGCCTACAGTGGTTCTGCAACCGTCACAATGGCTCCAAAGGCTGTCACTGCTACTGAAGATGCCGAGCTCCAAGCTCTCATGGAACGTAGCAAGGAGGTTGAAGGCGACTCTGAAGGCTCTGAGGAGGAGAGTGACGAGGAATGAAGCAAGATTTATAGGTTTAGAAAGTGTGTACTACTCTTTAATAGCAGTAAATCCCCATATATTCCCATACGTATAGGCCCAGTATTGAGATGCCCTTGTAATTGCCTATTCGGGCAATTGCCTATTTAGGTAATTACTCATTCGGGAAATGCTAGCATTTTTTCCTCTCCATATATTACTTTACTACTTCGCAAACCGTTGATGCTCTTCCTCAACATTGGAGCAAGCACTAAACGTCTTTCTTAGCTGAGTTCATTGGCTCAATTCAGACAGCTGAAGATGATGAGTCCATTCACAAGCTGTGTACGTCCACTGTGTACATCGCCTTCTATACGGCAACTCCTACGTAATACAATGAGCAATGGAATGGCTCGAAGAGCGATGACCTCGTCCCCGTTCAACAGATCTGACTACACCTCGCTGCTACTGGAGAAGAACTTGATGCACAGGAACCACATGCTGCCTGAATCAGCCTCGCTGAGGTGCACAGTGTTCAACGACAAAGGGGACTTGATTGCATCTTCGAAGGATGTGAAGAGATCAACGCTGATCTCCGAGTACGGGCTGTTCCCAAGAGACTTGAGAAAGATTGACAAGACGAACCATAGCGTTGAGATTGCGCCGTCGATCTCCGTAAGAAGGGACTCGATACTGATCAACATGCTGTACATCCGGTGTCTCATCAAGGCCGACACGGTGATTCTCTTTGACGATATGAGTCTACGTTCAAGCAGGGCTCAATCTCAGCTGATTTCGGAGATTGAAACCAAGCTGAAGAGCACGACAGACTCGTCACTGGCGTACGAGATGAGAGCACTCGAGGCCGTGCTGGTTAGTGCTATGACTAACCTGGACGCAGAGATGAAGGTGCACACCACGGTGACAAAAGGCATCCTGAGCGAACTAGAGCAGGACGTGACAAGTGACAAGCTGAGGTTTCTTCTCATTCAGAATAAGAAGATATCGACCTTTGCTCAGAAGGCCACGCTCATCAGGGATGTGATTGATGAACTGCTGGATAACGACGACGATCTAGCAGAGATGTACTTGACAGACACTCTCAACAACAAACCACACTCTGTCGATGACCATGCCGAGGTTGAGATGCTGCTGGAATCGTACTACAAGCATAGCGATGAGATAGTCCAGACGATCAACAGTGTGATAGCTAACGTGCGTACGACAGAGGAGATCATAAACATCATCTTGGATTCGAACAGAAACCAATTGATGCTGCTAGGGTTGAAGTTCTCCATTGGACTGTTAAGTCTTGGGGCTGGCATGTTTGCTGCCTCGGCCTACGGAATGAACCTGGAGAACTTTATAGAAGAGGACCACTATGGATTCCCGCTTGTTGTGATTCTCACCATGGCTCCAATGGCTTTCCTCTTTGCCTACAGCTCAAAGCATCTACGAAGACTGCAGAAAGTGACCATGATGGACCACTACAAATCTGTGAGGGAGAAGTTCTAGCCATTCGAGAGTCTGCTTCGATGAGTCACCCGTGGTTTTATATATGATATAATGAGCTATTTAATTTTCTCCTGTTGTAATTGGCCTACATATGATGTATTTTGGTGATGATGATGATGATGATGACGATGATGAGCCCGTAGTGTACCTCGAAGAAAAATTTTTCTGGGAACAACGTGCTCATCACTGGCAAGCCTTCCCACAAGCTTCATCAACAACAAGCCAGCATTAGCCATGGATGTTGATTGGAGGGTGTGTGCCCTCTTGGAGATGTTTCCAGACGTTTCGTACCAACTCGCAGAGAGACATATCCTGGAGAGTGAAGGTGATATTGAAAAGGCATGCGAAGGGCTGTTGAACGAGACCTCATTGGTTCAAGACGAAAACGACCGCATATGTGACCAAGTGGTGGAGCTCAGTGGCTACTCCAAAGACAGTGTCATGAGATATATTGAGCTCAACAAGGATGAGACTGGTGCAAAGGCGTTGATACAGATCATCGTGGAGTACTGTGAAGCCTATGAGAAAGATATGACGAAATACCATAATGAGAGCCCGCACAAGGAGATGCCACTGAGCATCACGAAAAACGCACGGACGCCCAGAGTGCAGACGAGCTACACGACAAGAGAGCCTCCAAGGATGGAGAAGAAGCCTGGCAGTGGTCCTACACCGTATATCTTCAAGGAGATGAGCCCAGAGGTGAAGGAACTAGCTGAGCTGGTGTTTAGCGATGAGAAGCTCGTCACTATACACTGGAATTTCTACATCAAGATGTTAATATTCTGTCGAGGCGATGTCTCCAGAGTAATCAGAATGGCCATTTTCCTCCTGGAGAACGATGCCGTGGAGCTGACAACCCATCTCAGGTGTGTTACAGAGACAGTTCCATCATCTGACACTGATAAAGCCCACGTCATGGACTATGCAAAGGTTGCAGAGCAACCAGCAGGCCAATTCCAACCCGTTGAGAAGAAACTGAAGAACACGAGGAATAGACAAGCACTACAGAGCAGCAATTGGACTCCTCATGACGGCACACAAGTGGGAATACGACACAACACCGGCATTAATCCCGGTGATGTTGGCGTGGACGAGCACCAGGCTGTGCTGATGAAGCAGGCCATCAACAACGCACTCAAGACAAACAAACTGGACCTCCACGGGTTCCACATGGCCACTGTCAAGAAGACGGTGCCACTAGTGCTACAGCACTGGTGGGATGAAGAGCTACGTGAAAGAGGCAGGCATGGCACCGAGGGCTCCACCATCAAGGCCAGGCACGTTGAGCCCTTGACCATCGTCACGGGCCGTGGAATCCACAGCGACGCAGGCATCCCCAAACTGAAGAAGCTCGTGGGGAGAATGCTCATGAGCGGGCCATGGCAATACGACGAAGAGTCGTCGTACTTTGTCGTCTACGGTAACAAAAGAGCAGTGTGAAGGTGTTGGTTGCCTGTGTATATGCAAGCTGAAGACATAATGCCCAATTGGGAAATTTTCGCCCTGGCAACCAGCCTTTAGTGTTGCTCCGGATACGTAGAATTGATCATAGATCAAATACCCTTATTGAAGCATTCGAGTCATCAATTGACGTAGTGCTCGATGTCTGAGATAGCCAGGAAAGTGTGGGAAGGGTCCATCAACTGTATTGTATCATACCGTGGTACTGAGTGCTATGTAAGTCAGGTCTTTCGGGAGCAAGGAACTGAGGTATTAACATGATGTCAGCTGAGGGTCTTTAGGAACTCCTACTTCCCGTTGTACTTCCAATTGCTTTCCAGTTACTTCAACGACGAGGTGAGCTTCCTGTACACGGAGGATGACGTTCCAGTGGCGTGGAATAAGCCCATTGGTGTGCTGTACGACTTGATGCAGGGAACCTCGCCGTGGAGGTTGTCGTGTGGGACCAAGGCAGATGAGTACCCGGAGTATATCCTACCACTGACTGACGTTGAATCGTACTGGTGCAACCAGATGAAGGAGGCATGCTATATCCATAACGGCAACAGCAAACAGATGATGTCGTTATCCAGGGATGATTCGTTAACGTTTTGGCATAGTGTTGTAACGCACAACCAGACCACTTGGTTTCGAATGTTCGCCAAATTACACTTGCAGTTCAAGAGAATACCAATCAGGCTGTATTTGAACGATTCTAAGCTGGATAAAGTGGTGCAGTGGCATGGACAAACCCTTGGAGAGGCCATGTGTGAATTGATACCTGAACTGTTTGACATGAAGAGATGGAGAAACAACGACCAGGTATCAGTGGTGCTCCATGGAGTAGAGCCCCCTCTACAGTGTCCAGTAGACGATCTATACAGAGAGTGTGTCTATGTGGATGGTTTCCTTCACCTCTGTGTTATCGTGAAGCCCAATCTTTCGGATGCTGAAAGTAAAGCTGAAGGTGAAAGTTAGTAGGCCATTGAACTCGACGGCCTGAGCAAAGCACATGGGGATGTCTCTATGAACAAATATATCCCCTGTGGAATTGTCAAGTTGATTACTAAAGAAGTGAATAGTGTGACGGGCAAAAATACTCCAATGGTGTGGCTTGCAATGCAGTAGTGGGCCTGGACAGGTATGGATAGAAGCCACTTATCCATTGAGCAGGGCACTGGCTTGAATAGTCATTAGTCACTACTCCATTACGTTATTAACCATCTTCTACCTCCGTTAAATGGACGAATAAGTAGCTATCGAGATGAGTATTTGAACTACAGCATGTCTTTCCGAAGAGGTGATTCATCCAATAACCGGGAACGAGAGAGGGTCACTGGATGCTTTCCACTGGGCTATTGAGCCCAAATTTCAGCACTTATGATGAATTCATGCTTCTCTGGGACTGTATGTGTCCCAATTGTGAACTTGGCCCTGTCTTTAGGCTTTGCCTGCGAGCTCTATAATCGCTCAAGAGAGTGCCTTGACGGTGATCTTCCTACTTGGAAAGCGCATCAAGAAACCCAGAACTAGAGCCATCGAGCTTTCCATGCTTCAGAGAAGAAAACAACAAAATACCAAGTGCTATAGTGCATCCATCAACAGAGGTTCTTCTCTCAACTACAGAAGGAACCTGATTGTTAGCACAGGCTGCTGTACTGGATATTGAGAGCACTACAAATGATCACAGAGCTCAATTACACCTGAACTGAGACACCAGTTGCACGTCGTTCTTGCTGCTTTGGCTCAACCATTGCTACCCATTATAACAACAGCAATCACATATGTATAATATCTAATATTAAATAAAAACCTCGTGGTGTATAACAACCTCGCTATATAGCATACCGGTGAAGGGAGATAAAATGTATAAAACTCCCGGATTTGGAAATTACCCTTTTGGTATTACATCCGGACATCTCACGGTTGCCCCGGTTTTCAATCTTCCTGGGACGTTTTTTAGCACAGAGAAAAAAAAGTAAACAAAAACATAAACAAAGGGAAAAAAAGACTTGTTCATTTGTTTACTTCTTCAACAAATCACGGCGGCTCAACACTGATTGTGGCCAAAGACCTACTCACCCATTGTATCTTACTTTATTCCACTCAACGTGTACCACGTGGGGAAGACTTCATCGTCAATCAGTCTGTTTTCCTTGCCGCCCACACAAGTTGATCCCATAGCGTGTGATATAGAAGATAACAATCGATGAATTTCACTGAAATTGGCGTCAAGTCGCGCAAGACTGGGCTCACAGTGAAGTCGAACGTCCGTAGAGATGAGCACAACATGGAGGACTTGGATGATTTCTTCCAGGACGACGATGAGAGGACGCTAGTTACCAAAGAGGCAAAGCTATCTGCTAATAGAGGTGGTGCCAAAGACGCCGCTACAAGTGCTAAGATGACGTTTAATGATGTATCGCCGAGGGAAGGGGGTCTATTACGATCTCCTTTGAACAGATCGAGCTCGATAGGGAGAAGTCTTTTGAAAAGTAACCAGACCGATGATGATGATGTTTTCGATGATGCCTTGGAAAACCCGGAACCTCAAGAGTCAACAAGGGCATTGGGATCTGGATCTATGGATATCGACGACGAATCTCGTAGAAGTATTCGTGAGGTGAACGACATAGATGTCTTCACACAGCCAACACAGCCTATGGATCAAACGTCAAGTCCTAATTTTGACATGTCGTTTCATGACGATGACATGCTTCCCATTGAGGCCGATGTTAATCAGTCTCCTTCACCGCTGCTACGGAACTCCGAGTACCCTAATATAGATCCACGGTTGAATACTGTTAGAGGGCAGAAACTATTTGTAAGTGATAGCGATGAGGAGTCTGGGAAATCCTTATCACAGAGACAACGAGAGCTCGAGAGAAACACTACAGTACGCTCCGAATCCAGGAGAAGAACGCAGACAGGTAAAGGTACAGGTACCATTACTCCTCCGATGCTCTCGCCCCAGAGGAACGGACCTTCAAAGTTATACAGTCCACTACAAGTAAGGCCAAGTGAAACGAGTACAATTTCATCGAGAATGATCTCGAAGATTTCCAGATCAATTGCTACAAATGACCGTGATAGAACCACAAAACTAAGCAGTAATATTAATAATAAGCACAGAGTCTATCATGATGGTGACGATGAAGTGAGTGACTCTGTGGATGTTGATTTCGAAGCTGCAAATTCGAAACCAGTTGAAGCTCCAGTGAAGAGAAAAAGAGGGAGACCAAGAAAGAATCCCGAAGACAAGAAATCAACAGTTAAAAAATCAAATACGAAGGAGAAAACAGTTAAAGTACCCGGTAAACGTGGAAGACCAAGAAAGGTGATACCACCTGCCGATGACGATGAAGATTATGAAGGAGTACAGGAAGAATCAATTAGCCATAAACGTGGAAGAGAAAGATCACGTAAAGAACAACCCCTTTCACCATCACTTTCTCCAGTTTCCAAGGAACGTCGTATAGATGTTGAGACCCTTAGGAAGGAACAGATATCGAGGTCCTCATCACGTCCGCATTCTCCTTCACTTAGACGCTCGGATCGTGTACGTGTTCCTCCATTGGCATTCTGGAGAAACGAGCGTGAAGTTTTCGTTAAGAAACCGGGCGAACGTCTCCCTTCATTATCGGAGATTATCCGTGTGAATCCTCCTAGGGAGTTTGTGAGATCCAGAGCCCCATCAAGGTCTTCATCTAGACCACCTAGTCATATCAGAGGTAGAAACTCAAAGAGACCCACTGTACGTTCATTAACATCCAGACGTCCTTCTCTTTCAAGACTCACTTCCCGTCATAACTCTGATGATGAAGATGATGAAGATGATGATGAGTTGGCCGTTGGCAATGGTGAAGTGAATGGATCCGAATGGATCAGACAAGGGTTTCTTAAAGTGGACACTTTTGAGGGCCATGGTTCAGACGCTAGAAGTAATAGGCTTATTGCATGGGCACCTGGAACCGAAGCATATTCAAACCCTATAGTTGATGGTACTGATAATTTCAAATTGGCAATTTTATTTGATAAGAACCGTGAATTCATTGCCACCGGGATGATGTCAATACCACCAGGTGGGATGAAGAGTTTGAAGAGTACAGATACAACCTATTTCGTCTTTTACTGTGTTAGCGGTATATTAGAAGTAACACTCAGTGGTTCTATATTCCTCATAAAGAAAGGTTGCTCGCTTGAAGTTCCCATGGGTAATTTTTACCAGTTTGAGAATAAGGGAAAGAAAGATGCAACATTGTTCTTTGTTCAAACCAGAGGTCAAGAAGCAGAATGGGACGAATGAATGAAGCACACCCCAAATTCGCTACTGGTTGTATATTTCGCACACTTTACCATGGGTACTATTTTTGAACATTGTTCTTTTACCTCTTTTGCCGTTGTTATGGTTTCACCTTTGGTGGGTCGAGTTCTAGTGTGTTGTATACATGTTTGGAGGTGTGTGCTTTTTCTGGTCAATGACGTGTTTCTGTTGCTTACTTTGTGCCAATGTCCAAAACAGGTACAAGAGTTGTTTAAGCTGTATAGAGCCACATCCTCTAACCTGGATATGGTGGTGTATGTACTTTGTAACATGCGCAAGGTCCATATTCGTTTAGTTCAACATGTACGTAGGTTCTATGCACATATGTGCCTTGTGAGGATTCCCTCCCCTCCGCCTCCTTTTTTTCCTTACCCTCTAAACGGTTAAACGATGGATGTTTTTTACATAGCAACCAGAAGTCCTCAGCTCTCTAAACGATGCTTCATATGTCCCCATTTGTACGTAAAATCCTTCCTAAATGTCCATCTGGCCTAAACGAGCAGGGTGTACGTGTATGTACACCCTTTTTCCACCTCTCTGCCCCCCTCCCCTCCATAATTGCTTGTCTTTCTGGTTTTGGCACTGTTGACATAAACACGAAAAACACCCGAGACGTAAAAATAAACACGAAACTCAACGCGAAATCGTGTCTGTCACGTGTCTGGCGCTTTTCCCAAAGCTGCATAAACCCGGACATTTCCTCACCTCGCCACATCCTACGGCGACGGCCCGCGGTGCAATGCCCAAAACACAACAAATTTTGTGCCTACTCACTCAAAACAAAAAAAAAAGTCGACCCACTTTTTCCTGCGTCTTGTGGCTGATTTCGCTCGTTTGGGCCGCCCATCGCCTGCTCTTGCGCGTGATACCGCAGTGTGGCACAAAAGACACGCATCGACTCATAATTCCCTTTCCAAGGCAAATCAGACGTATATATAGCGAGAGTAATCTCCAGGTATCGATGAAGTACGCCGTGAGGAATACACAGAGTATCGCGGAAATACCAATCAAACACCAATGCAAGCTTCAAGAATCAACTTCGGCAACTTCAGATACACACAAGCACCACGTCGCTCGGTGCAGCCGGTGTTTATGCTCGCATACGTCTCCTTAGGGTTGACGCTACCATTCCTCTTACCATTGAAGCAGCACTTTGACGGGGTGAAGGTGAGCACAAACAGTCGACTAGCCCACACCACGCTGGTGAGAATATAAGCACGTCATTCTCTACTGCCTGGCGCCAGATCTTGCGCTGGCACTGGCACTAGCTCTGGCACTGTGTGCTTGTTATTCTGTTCTTCGCTAACGTATGCGGGATGTGTCGTGTGTACTGAATATAAAGGTGGTTTAATGGTATAAGGGTTGACGACTTTCGATGATGGATCGTGGTCAAACGAGAGAGGGCGGAGAGGGCTGGCACCTACGTCTCTCCCATCTATGTGAAGGCTCAAAGGTTTCTTTTTTTGGTATATTTGGATTTGTATTTATATACACACACATTTTAATTTACACTGTTCTATGCTACGCAAGCGTATAGTGTGCGTAGTTCCGGCTGGCTATGGCGTTCCGTTGAGAGATGGCGGAAGAAATGAGTGTTATTGTACAAAAACGGAAATTATCCTGATTGGGTAATGTTGTGAGTGTCGTGGTGATGGGTTCTGGCGTATCGCTGAAAAGGGAAAACGCAGGCGAGCTGAATGTTTTGATTTCACTGATTAGATAGAAGAGCTTCAGTTCGTTATCGTTTGGTAGTGGATACGTTCAGCCCTTTGGTGCGTGAGACACTCGGTGGAGATGTCTGGGAATCCAGCAGTGGAGGTGGTGCGTGCTGCTGCGACTCATTCAGAGATCCTGTGGTGCTACCGTGGTGGTGCTACCCTGGTGGTGCTACCCTGGTGATGTTACTGTACGTCTATAGTGCCGCCAGCTATGAGTATTATGTAAAGCTCTAGAGGTTGGGGCCTTCTGTGGACTTCCTACTCAGGCCAACGCTCCCCTATGCTCCTTCCACAGCCCTTGAGAGAATAGAGAACTGCCAGGCACTTGGAAGGTCAAAAGAACACAGCCCAATCACTGACGGTGGCTGTTATTACATACCTTCGGGTGCTTATATCACAACACGCAGTCACCCTCGCACACGTGTAAGAAAGTGTGTACAGCATTGGTGAACGTGATGTCAAAGGTGATACACCCGACAGGAAGTAGATCGTCTACGGTTACCGAGCAGTATGCTCAGTGTAGAGAGTCACTTCATGTTGATCACCACCTTATAATTTATAGTGGGCAGCGACAAGGGTATGGAGAAGAAAAAGAATAAAGGTGTACATTGTACATTCTGTGAACAAGGATGGGTGGATAACGGTGTTTAGCGGTCCTAGGCATCCCACCTTCTTGTGCTTTTTTCCACCACTCTCTAATGAATGGTTATAAAACGCTCCAATTCCTGGTTATGATTAGTTGTGCACAACTGGCACTTCCATGCTGACGTTCGTTACAACTTTAGCTCTCTTTTGCGCCTCTGATGAGATTCGCTCGCTTGATACTTCTCTCTTTGTCCTTGCTGAGCCATTCAGCTAACGCTGGAGCTTTTGCAGAAGCTTTAGCTGATGCCTTTCCAGAAGCTTTAGCAGAAGCTTTTCCCGATGCCTTCCCTGATGCCCTTGCTATGGCTGCCCCAGGTGATATGTGTGCTTCCATCACCTGTCATGCTGCCTGTGGGTTTTTGATTCTAGATGGTATAGCTTGTTCTCAAAACAAGGAGAATAACTATGCTGGTCCATACGATCATGACTGTCTCTGTGCCTCTGGTTCAAGCTTCAATAGGCATTATCCTGCATGCATGGACTGTGGTTGGACCTTATGGAAATACTATGGGCCATACGTCTCCTCAGCTTTGCAAGAGTGCTCCACATTATCCACTGAGCCTACTGGCACCTTGAGATGCTCAACAACTTTGACAGACAGTTATTCCATGGACACCGGTATAAATGCTTGTGACTTTACTGGTGGTTGTACATCGACTAACACCTTCTCAACTGTTGAGACGTCCACTGGGGCTTCTTCTGAGTCTGTCACATCTTCTGAGTCAATCATTCCTTCTGAGTCAATCATTCCTTCTGAGTCAGCTACGCCTTCTCAGTCAGCTATACCTTCCGAGTCGACTGTTGAGTCCACAGTTACATCCTCGTCGTCGCTCACCTCTGTTGAATATTCTACCAAATCTGTAGAATCTTCTGGGGTTGTTTCGACAGAAACAATTAGATCATCGTTAACTGAAGAGGACAGTTTCTCTGACCATTCTACTGAGTCGTCTAAAGAAGAGCCTACTGATTCTACTGTTGCTACTGACTCCACTGACTCCATTGATTCTACTGACTCCATTGACTCCACCACGGAGTCTTACAGTGATATCTCAACTGAAAGCACTTCTCAAGCTCCAACGGAGACATCTAGTGCTGACTCTATCATTCCAACCTCATCATCGATCTCTGAACAATCTTCAGTGTCACAGACGCTTGTTGAAGACAGCTCTGTATCATCATCCCTGGCACCCTCATCAACACACTCATCAGCTCTTAACCTCACCACCGCAGTCTACACCTCACTGTTTCCTAATTCAACCATCAATTCAGGTGGAGATTCCACTTCAACTGCTCTGTCTAGTTCACTGACGATTCCTTCTCCAATTTTAAATCCTGATGTTCAATTTTCAGGAACTTTAGAAGATGGGTTACTACTATGGTCAGTTTCAGTCACTGAACTTTCATCATTTAGTGTCGACATCGTGCTATCAAAGGGAAACTCAACTGGAGACTTCAGATTCACATCTGTTGGAGATGACAATCATCACACCCCATCTGAAGTAGCAATCACGGGGGAAACCGTTGAGATCTCCTGGTCTGAACCACTTTCCGGTTCCGTCGCTGTGCAGATAGTGGGTGAAATCACGAGTGGTTCAAGTTGGACTTCCAACGCCCGTATTTCAGTCAATACTCTTGACAGTGGAAGACTCTCCAAACGAGAGGTGATTGTTTATCACCTCTCTTCGACTATCACCCGAGACTCGACGAATGAATCGCACTCTGGTTTTGACATAAGCTCTGTGGGCTTCGCAAACAACACAAGTATAACTGGCGATGACGTTACAACTGTCAACTCCACGATTCTCTCAACAGACACAGTATACACCACCTACTGTCCAGAAACTTCAACCACAGTGACATCTCTCCCAGTTGAAGATGGTGTTGTTGAGAATAACAATGCTCAGACAAACTCGGGTTCTTTCCCTACTAATAACGAACTTGGCACTGATAGCTATACTGAGCTCCCATCCAATGGCACAACTTCCTCCGCCGCTACCCCAGTCATTTCAACAGCCTTTGAAGGATCTGCTGTAAGACTATCCGGATTTTCCCTATGTATCATGGGCATGGCACTGTTCCTGATGTGATTCTGTACATGATGGATCCTCTCTACATGCAAACTGGTGCGCAGACCACAGCAGACCTTGCGTCAGTTACCAACCTATTGATCTCAATCACAATGGCTGCAATGAAGTCTTTGTCTGTAGAGCTTTCCATATATCTTCTTACAACGTGTGTATACAACGTAGCCGTTGTCTACTATTGCGCTTGAACTGGTGTTGATTCGTGGAATAGATAACAGTGTGAAACAGGGCACGTGCGTGAAGTACATAATACCTGCATATATCTCTTTTATGCCATCACCACTACGGTAGCTATGCCGGTATTAGGTATTTATTGGAAGCCGATTTCTCTCTCATAGGCCAATCTCTCTTGTTGCCTTTTGTTGCAAAGCCTTCAAGATGATCCCACCGTTATACCTCCTAAGTGGATGGCTGTTACGTCTCCAGTCATCATGGGACTACAGCGCAATGGAATACTTTGTTCAGTACGCAAATTCCTGTGCCACAACCACCGAGCTGACCAACTTTGGACTCTTGCCAGAGTACACATGGTCCTCATTGCTTGATACTCTGGAGCAAGACACTGAGCGTGGTGTTCATTACAAGTTGTTATTCTTGCAAAGACACGGCGAGGCATGGCATAACGTCATAAAGGAAAGAGTCGGTGATGATCGCTGGAAAACCGTTGGTGTTGAAGACAGCTATGATGGCATCACTCTGTTTGACGATTCCTTGACGAAGGATGGGTTATCGCAAGTGCGAGACCTCTCTACTAAATGGGTTGAAGAGATTGAGAAAGGGGCACCTCTGCCGAGAAGCCACTACATCTCCCCTTTACAGAGGACGTTACACACACATGAACTCACGTGGGGACCATCACAATCAGGGTTGATCGTTGAGAGTCTTAGGGAGAGGTACGGTGTCTATACGTGCTATGAAAGACATAACAAGTCATGGATCAGAGATAATTATCCCAACTTGGAATTTGAAGATGGCTTTAGGGAGTTTGATGATCTCTGGGAAAGTGACAGAAGAGAGCCCAAGTGGCATGTTGACAGTAGAGTTGAGCATTTCCTGAATGGCCTGTTCAACAACGATGAATCAACAGTGATCTCTGTAACTTCTCATGCGAAATTTATCAAGAGACTCTTGAAATACCTGAAGCACCCGTCATATAAACTTCAACCAGGTCAGATGCTACCAATCGTTATCAAAGCACAGCAGCATGGTGGTAATAATAATAATAATAATAATAGTATAAGATAAGGCAAGATAATAAAAAATGAAATCACTCAACATGGTCTTTGGATAATCTGGAATCACACTGTAAGAAAACATGTTTGAGTATCTCGTTAATCTGATTTGGTTGTTCCATGGGCATATTATGACCTGTGTTTTCTAATTCGATGTATTCAACTCTAGAGCCCAACAAGTCTCTATAAGTAGCACCCCCGTTATGTGTCACTGCATCCTGTGCACCGTCTAATACCACCAACTGTGCATTGTTCTTTGTCAATTGGGAGTACATCTCCAAGATTTCCTCAACAGTCAGGGGGACCCAACTCAGCGCATGGGTTAGCACATTCTCAGAATTGGTTGAGATGTTGAACTTGAACTGTTTGAACTTGATGAAATCTGAGGCTGTTGTATCCTTTGCAAACAGTCTCTTTAAGGAATGGGACTCGATGTTGTTGACTCTATCCAATTTTCTAAAGATGTTAAAAGCCCATGGGAACTGTAGGAAGAATTGTAGGATATAGGTCTGCCATCTGGTTCTCTTGAAGCCAATCTTTGGAGGTGCTAAGAAAACTGTGGTTACTACTTGTGGTAAAGAATTGCACAACTTGATACACACTTGAGTACCGTAAGAATGGCCCACAAGAATGATCTTCTTATCGTAACAGTTCAATCTCTTCAATATGGATTCAACGACATTGGCAAAGTTCTCCAGTGTCAGTTTAAACTTATCCTTTTCATAATTCACGCTGTGTCCGCTTCCTGGTAGGTCCAATGCAACGATATGGGCAAACTGTGAAAACTCTTCAATTTGGTAGTCAAACTGTTGTAGATTACCACCTAGCCCATGGATGAATACAACTATGGGGACGTCATTGTCCTTCGTAGGGTGTGGAATATCCAGCGTAAACACATCCCCTACATCCTCCAAATGGATATATTGACCGTACTTTGTGGTTAAGGGGGCCTTGAACGTTTCATCGTCATCAAAGAGTAATTGCTCCAATGGAGTTCTTCTCGTAGATGAAACCAGTGCTGCCCAATAGTGCTGCACCAACGATACAAAGGAGTCGGGATATGATTCCTCCTGGACAGCCAATGCCTTGTACTGTTCAATGGACATTCTCTCTGTGGTTTCCAGCTCCTTATGGGTACCTCAAAGCAAGGGTTAAGCAACTGGAGATTGGTGTACTCTACGCGGTGTTGAGACAGATGTAGCACATATCAGTTGGTGTGCGGATGTGTGTGTGCCAATGTCACGTGACCACCCAGCCCATCTGGTATATGTGGCCCGTACCAGAGACTTGGTCTGGTGTCCAGGTGTGGGCTTGTCCACATTTACTGGGTCAGTCCATCCATTTTGACGCGTTTCATCTTCACACCTCTGCATGCGGCTATGTAAACAACCACAACAACAACAACAACAACAGCGGCAGTGTACCCTCATACAATGAATGATAACTGATCACGGACACATCGCTGGTGCTAAGCCTGGTCTAGTGAACACGTTTCAATGGCAGCGTGTAAAGACCCGAGAATTGTCCACGTACTAAGACACTGTACGTGGCGCTTTACCCTGTGAGCCTCCCCGGCGTGATCACTGGTTATCGGTGTAGTATAGCCGCTCCGTGCTGTTGCAATCTGTGGGCTCGTGCTAACGCTCCGACTTGTCCTTGTGGTGTTCGACAATGCGACTCGAGGGTCCTATGAAGGCTCTGCTTCACCTGGGGCTCGAGCTATGGACCAACAACAGCCACTATAACATTGGCGGATGGTTGTTTTGGTGCTGGAGGGGCTTGAGCACAAACATCGCAAAGTCCGAGTCCGAGTCCCCCAGTGCAAGTCCCCCACTCCGAGTCCCCCACTCCGAGTCCACCAGTGCCAGTCCACCAGTGCAAGTCTCCCATTCCGAGTCCCCCACTCCGAGTCCACCAGTGCCAGTCTCCCATTCCGAGTCCCCCATTCCGAGTCCCCATTCTCTGACCACTTCCCAGTCCCGTCGCGTCTGAGAGAGAAGAATTCAAATTGTTAGGGACACATATCCACCTCTCCAGAGTTGGGCGACGTGTTTTTTCTTTTGCTGTCATTAATGCTCTCTCTCTCTGTCATTCCCTTTTCTTTGGTTGAATCTGCCAGGTGTACACTGCTTTCAATACTTCAAGGGTCTACTGTCCATCCTCTACTGTTCATCCTCGACTGTTGCTTGAATAACGTGTTGTTGTGGGTGCTATTACTTTCTGTGACGGATAATTGATTTTCCTTGGACTGTGTCTTGTGCTGCGTTTAGTCCTGTTTGAACCATAATTCATCTACAAGTATGGTGAACATCCGTGTTGATCCTCGTCTGTTAAGGTTCTCGGCGGTTGCCGTTGTACTGATCTTTACCGTGTTCATTCTCTCAAGAGGAAGCACAACCACCTATACCGGTTCCGTTGGAGGGGTTGTTCCGTCCTCCTCTTCAGGTGCCTCCTACTCTGAGAGCAAAGTTCAGGTTAAACAACAAATTGGTCAAGGTGTGATTACAAACACCATCAATGAAAAGGGTTTGAAGAAACAAGCCCAAAAGGGTACCGTTAAGGCGACTTTTGTCTCGTTGGCAAGAAACAGAGACTTGTGGTCCTTGGTTGGCTCCATCAGACTTGTTGAAGATCGTTTCAACAAGAAGTATGGTTATGATTGGGTGTTTTTGAACGATGAACCTTTCTCCGAAGAGTTCAAACGTACTACCACTGCATTGGTCTCAGGAACAACCAAATATGGTGAGATTTCAAAAGAACAATGGTCATTCCCAGAATGGATTGATTTGGACAAAGCTGCCCAGGTTAGAGAAGACATGAAGAAGAACAAGATTATCTATGGTGATTCCATCTCCTACAGATTTATGTGTCGTTACGAATCTGGGTTCTTCTACAGACATCCATTGTTGCAAGACTATGAATACTACTGGCGTGTCGAACCTGATATCAAACTTTACTGTGATATCGACTATGACATCTTCCAATTCATGAAGGACAACAACAAGAAGTACGGTTTTACAATCTCATTACATGAATACCAGGCCACCATTGAGACCTTGTGGTCCACTACTAAACAATTCATGGAGAAATACCCTCAACATATTCACAAGAACAATATGCTGGACTTCATCTCTGATGATGGTGGTGCAAGTTATAACCTCTGTCACTTCTGGTCGAACTTTGAGGTTGGTTCCTTGGACTTCTGGAGAGGTCAGGCTTATTCCGACTACTTTGACTTTTTGGATCACGCGGGCGGATTCTTTTACGAACGTTGGGGTGATGCTCCAGTTCATTCCATCGCTGCTGCTTTGTTCCTGGATCGTGAAGAACTTCACTTTTTCACGGATGTCGGTTACTTCCATCCTCCATTCCACAGTTGTCCTATTGAAGATGAATACAGATTGAAACATAAATGTATGTGTAACCCTGCTGATGACTTCACTTTTAAGGGTTATTCATGTGGTTTGAAGTACTACGATGTTAACAGAATGCAAAAACCAGAAAACTGGGAAAAGTTTGCATGAGTCCTACTCTGGAATATTTTATATCGTGACAATACTACATATATTTCTCTTTTTCCTTCTCACTGAGCCATCTCTCGCCCCTGCTTTCTCCTTATGACACACCTCTATTCAAATGGTCTCTCCAATCTTCCGGCCTTTCGTAATGATTGATTATGAAGTACTTGTGCATGCAGTACCTCTTCGGATTCCATGTAACACTTTTACTTTTATCACAAGAACATCTCAATACTTCTCTGCTCAGTTGATCACTTGGACACACTTCCTTCCCGTGAAACGTATACCCTATATCGTTAAACCAATGCACCTGTTTTGGAGGTAGCAGTATTGAAGAAGCTAAGGTCTTGAACATCGCATCTGTCCAATTCTCCAAATAAAAGCCACCAGTTGATTCTAAATAGCTGTAGAACTTCATGTATTCCTTGGACCTTAGCCAGTTTAAGTCTCCGATTTCATTCTGAGACCAGAATTCACAATGATAATTCTGCTGAAGGTTGTCCAATTCTGTATTCATATTGACGAATGACGTTCCATTATCGCTTGGTATCAGTTCTGGGAATTCCTGTATAAATTCCAACGTTTTGTTGAAAATCGATGGTGCCCTTCTATCATCACCACGTTCTGCTGCTATAAAGCTAAATCTTTTCCCTTCTTGTTTCATGAATTGGAAAACATCGTAGTTTATATCACACGTTAATGCTGAGCCTGGCTCCACTAGCCAGTAATAATCGTAAGAAGACAGCTCCTCCAAATTCTGCAGAACACCACTCAGGAATCTACTTCTATGACGAGAATCCATATAATTACCCTCTGTTAGATGAAGTGCTTCCATCCTCCCCCTCCATGCGTATGCCCTCTCAGCATCAACACCTTTGGGGAACGACCAATGACTTCTATCAATCATGGAGAACTTGACCTTGCCCGAGGTCAGGAACTGTGCCTGTCGTTTCATGTGCAGAGGCAATGCCCTATCTGAGAAGATTACCCAATCATAGTGATATCTATGGTTAAACCTCGATTCATAAGCGACTAGTGTCTCAAGCATTGGGAAAACCTGTGACGATTCCATAACAGTTATGAATACACCGTTGGACCCACCACCAATAGGTTTCGACTTGATTCCGAACTGTTTATCAGAATGTGTCAACACTCTCCCTCCGCCTAGCTGCTCAGTGCCCGCATTCACCTTATTAATTGACGTGTCATCAACCAACGATATGAGCCTAGGCCTATGTGTACCCTTGATCAGAGTTATGAGGCACATCAGTGCAACCACACAGAGTGTTACAGTACTTCTTCTAGTTTTCCTGCCATACATCTGTATGCTCCTTTTCCTGCTCTTGTGTTTATCTTCCAGCTCAGTCTCAGTTACATACTACAATCTTTTCAAACGTTCAAACCCATGGAAACTTGGAACTAATTTATCCATTCCCTGCATTCCTGGGGGTGTTTATTACTGTGTGTGTGCTGTATGTGGGTCGTCAAGTATAAAATTGCGGTAGACATAATGGTGCGCCGAGGTGCGTCTATGAATTAATTAATATCACGATGATATATCAACAAAAAAAACGATATAATAAGCAATTGAACAGTTGTATGGTCTGTTGATCTCTTCTTATTACAAGGGCTCACTTGCTTGGTGCTTCATTGGCTTTGGAGGTGCTGTATATTGGGGATTCTCACCTATTATGTCGGCCTCGTGCCAGAAGGGAAAACTTGGGTGTTTTTTATGCCTTATTAGATATCCGAAAAGGCACCTCAAGGGAGGCTTGTGGAAAGTACAGTTGGTGGCGGTGTGGACACTACGGTCATCTTTGCTTAGCGTGCCATACAGCGTAGAAGTTCTTGGTCAGAAGATTGAGGGTGTGTCCGTTGGATTCAGAAGGAAAGTGACACTGACAGACCAAGCAGTGGGAGTAGATTAATTGCTTTGCTATGATTCTAGTGCCGTAGGTCCTACACGCTCCTGGTCCTTTGTGAAGACTATGCTCCAAGGCGAATGGGTCAAAGTGGTATAGTGGAATCAAGCTATGTCGTCTAAACTGTGAAGGAAAGGCAAATGAAAGGGGAACTGTTCTTGCTTTTGAAGTACGGAGTCGACAGGTGAAAGAGTACCCATTTTGTCCAGCGTGTTACCAATCTAGTTCAGTGTGTTTAACTGTAAAAATTGCTGTGTTTAACTGTAAAAATTACTGTGTTTAACTGGGAATATTACAGACATTTGATTGATAGACAGATGTAACGATAAGCTCTGCTCGCTAGATTCAGTCTTGGTTCTTCGTTTCAATATGAGCTGCAAACGTTGTGCAGACCCTTGTTTTCAGGCAGGTTTGTGTATTTGATTTACGTATATCAGTTGATTGTTATATATAGGAAATGTGCTTTCATGAAAGTGAAGCTACTTTGTTAGCAGGAAATCGTACGAACAGTGTCACAATGCTTTCGACTGTAAATAGAGCCTCAATTCAAGTGATAATTCTGCTGTATTAACGTTGTTGAGTTAGTAATTGAATAATAATTGTTGCTTGTAATTTTCACCTTTCTCCCATCAATAATTCTGATGTAAAATGAACCCGCATCATTTTTGAATATTTCATAAAAGATTGTACAAATTAATTAATATTCATACTATAACATTCATAATTAACAGAAATCTATTAATACTGAAACAAAATCATTCTTCAAATAGTTCTTAGTACTTTAAACATGCACTTTACTATGCAAACCCCTAACTGATGCCGTCAAAGGTCTCAAAACATCCAGACACCTCCACTATAGGGTATACAGTATATAGAGGATAGCACTTTAGTTATACCAACTCCGGTCGCTCAGTTACAGCTGATTCTTCTTTATGTAAATGCCTTACAGATGTTGTACCAAAAGGAACTAATGCACTGGGTCTGACCTAGCCTTTATTAGACATTAGTATTGTGGACTAAGCGGGGAGATTGGCATGTCATCGAATTTATGCTCTGCTGAGGTGAATGATGATGAACAGACCATTGTAGATCAGAGGTAACTTGAGTATCATAGATTGCTGTTGGAACGTATAGGTAGATATGTTTATAAGCATTTGTAGATGAAAAAAAGAAGCAAAACTTGAAGATAAATTAGAGATATGTAAAAAAACAGGAACGTCTTTCTAAGTTTCAACCGAAGTCAGTTAAAACACCATACTTTTTACTCAATTTCAACCGAAGTCAGTTAAAATACAGTACTGTTCTCTCAATGTCAACCGAAAGCAGTTGTAACTGAGTTTTGAACAGTTATAATGAACATAGAAACGAAAACAATAAAGAAATGCGATCAAGAAATACGATCAAGACGAGCAGTGACATGCCCTCAAATTCACAACGCCAATAGACCTAAGACCATTATAGCACCAAGTGTGTTGGACAACTTGTTTGCAGAGCCTTCAAATGTTGTGATAGATACAGCTGTAGTATCTGAGCCAGATGTTTCAGAACCTGCAGAACCCTCAGTAGTCTCAGATCCAAGGTATGTAACAGTTGTAGAACCATTGGATTCAACGATGTTCTCGGAATCAACAGTGGAGGTGGATCCCTCTTGGTTGTCAGCAGCAGTGGCTGTATCGACAGAGCCCTCTTGGTTGTCAGCAGCAGTGGCTGTATCGACAGAGCCCTCTTGGTTTTCAGCAGCAGTGGCTGTATCGACAGAGCCCTCTTGGTTGTTAGCAGTACCGGTAACAGTAGCAGTCACAGTTGTCTTCGAAGTAACATCGGTTTCGACAACTTCATCACCAGTCACAGTGTTGCCTGCAGCAGTCTCTGTACCCAAGGTTCCTTCAGCAGAGGTTACAGTGATAACAGTGGTGGTGGTAACTGGAACCTCTGTGCAGATGTCGTCCTCACAAGAAGTAACAACGACAGTAGTAGTTCTCACTTCCTCCACTTGAGTCTCAGTTGCAGTCTCTGTTTCAGGAATTGGACAGTATGTGGTATATGATGTTACCACACCGTTGTCTGTGGTTGTAATAACGGTAACACCAGTGGTTACTGGCACCTCAGTGCAAACAGCATCTTCACAGGAAGTAATAGTGACAACTGTGGTGCTCAAGTTACTCTCAGTCTCAGTCTTTGTGCTGATTGGACAGTAAGTGGTGTAGGAGGTCACTACTCCATGTTCTGTAGTGGTGACAACAGTAACACCGGTAGTGACGTCTTTGGTGACACAAGAATCGTCATCACAGGAGGTAACGGTAACAACTGTAGTAGAAATATCATCAGTTGTTGTGGTTGAAGTTATTGTGATACTCTCAGAAGTGACTGATTCGTTATCAGAAGCAGCAGAGGAGGACTCAGAGGCAGCATCTGTGGATTCAGAAACCTCAGAAGCCTCAGAAGCCTCAGAAGCCTCAGAAGCCTCAGAAGCCTCAGAAGATTCAGATGAGAGAGAAGCAGTACCTGTGATAGTAGCTTCCAAATCAAAGACCAACTCAGCTCTCTTCACCAGCTTCTTTCCATCAGGAGTGGTTATAACTATGTGAACGAACGATGTCCAAACATTGTCAGCAGTAACCTCACCTTCTATCTCAAAGGAGAGCACACTGGTGGATGATATCTCGCTGTCGAAGACGATTGTAACCACGCTGGAGGTAAGATCGATATCTGCTGAGTCACTATCCTGTCCATCAACGTATGCTGAGGCTTGTACATAAACAAATCCATCATTATCGGTACCATTCTTTGTCACTATCACCTCAACAGAGGTCCATGGTCCGAGTGATCCTGGAATGTTCAAAAGCCAGAGAGGGCTTCCATCTTCAAAGGAACCTGTGAATTCAGGAGCTGCGATAGATTCAGAAGGAGTTTCTGTTGGGTTCTCAGATGTAATGTCACTCGATGTGGAGTCTAAAGAAGTAATGGTAGAGTCAGTGGTAGAGTCAGTGGTAGAGTCAGTGGTAGAGTCAATGGTCTCCTCTGATGTTTCCTCAGAAGTCTCCTCAGATGTTTCCTCAGATGTTTCCTCAGAAGTCTCATCAGAAGTCTCCTCAGATGATTCAGCAGATGTCTCCTCAGAAGTCTCTTCAGAGGTTTCTTCAGAAGTCT